GATTAACGGCTCGTATCTTTCTAATCGAATTTTCTATAAAATATTATTAATGCTATCTTGTAGCAAATTTCAAGGCTGTCGAATGAGCCCAAAATCAAAATTGAAAATAATCGATAAGGGGTCGAAAAATTTTTTTAAAGAGCCTTACCCCCATTTTACGTTGATTTTTGAGGTCTCAGGATCTCGGCTCTGGGTAGAGTTATAGGTCTAGTTCTTTTTTATTTTTTCATAATATCATTATATATTGTTGCTAGAATTTTTGTAGATTTTTCCTAAACTTGGAAATATCTTTTTTGAAAAGTGGACTTATAATTTTGTGGAGGCCGAAAACACATATTTTGGTCTAAAAATTTTTTAAATAAAAATTCAGCCAAAAATCGAATCACACCTTGTTAGTTATTCACTAAAAGGTGTGTTTCTAAATTTTCAAAAAATTTGGATCACTGGGAGTCAAAAAATCCCGAAAAAATGGGTGGACTTATAATTATGTGGAGCAGTGTATTAAGGTAGTTTGGTGTTAGTTTCCTCGCTATTATTAATTAATATAGATTAATATCTACATAAATTCTGATTTTAGTCCTTTTAATAAAAAATGAATTCTGATTTTTAAATAAACTTGAATTAATAATTCTGATATTAATTCTGTGAAAATACATTAGAAACACAAAGAGAAATTCTGATTTTGTAAATTCTGAAAATACATTTTCAAAAACACATTAAAAACACATAACTTGTAGTAGAGAAATTCTGATTTTATAAATTCTGAAAATACATAACCGAAAACACATTAATAAACACTTGTAGAGAAGAAATTCTGAAATTAAGTTCTGAAAATACATATAAAGTAAAATACATTACTAAAAATACATCATAAATAAAATAAAATTCTGATTTTTAAAATAAATTCTGGAAAATACATTTTCAAAAACACATTAAAACACAGAAATTCTGAAATTAAATTCTGAAAATATAAAGTAAAATACATTCTGATTTTTTAAAATAAATTCTGAAAACACATTCTTCTGATATTTTTTGTATTTTCCCAAGTTTATTTTTGAAAACACAAACCTAATAAAATTCTGATTTTTATAAATTCTGAAAATTTTATTTCTTCTGGTATTTACAGTCGTCGACATAAAGATAGGGACAAGAGTAATTTAAATGTAAATTAACTATTTTTCAGTCAAAAAATACGTTCTATATATCAATCGAAAGCTCTATTCGTATCTCAGTTGACATGTTTTTGCATTTTTCATGAAAATGAAAATTGGCCGAGATAATCCGGATCTACCGGATATACCAAATCCCATAGCCTCGGAAAAAATTTTCGGAAAAAATTTAACAAACCCAGTTGATAAAGCATATTTTTGTGAGTATTTACCACAAAACCGCTTAGAAATATCTTTTTCCGGTCCAGAGATATGATTTTTTGAAAATGGCATTTTTCGTCTATTTTTGCAAAAAATTGAATTTTTAAGCGAAAAATGCCATTTTCAAAAAATCATATCTCCGTCCCGGAAAAAGATATTTCTAAGCTGTTTTTTGGTAACTACTCACAAAAATATGCTTTATCAAATGGGTTTGTTAGATTTTTTCCGAAAATTTTTTCCGAGGCTATGGGATTTGGTATATCCGGTAGATCCGGATTATCTCGGCCAATTTTCATTTTCATGAAAAATGCAGAAACATGTCAACTGAGATACGAATAGAGCTTTCGATTGATATATAGAACGTATTTTTTGACTGAAAAATAGTTAATTTACATTTAAATTACTCTTGTCCCTATCTTTATGTCGACTACTGTAATCCTTTTATGTGGATTTTAATGCTTTACTAATCGACAACATTTCTTTAATTTTATTTAATTAATAAATGCGCTAATTTAATTTTTACTTTTTGATTTTCTGACAGCTTTTACTTCCGTAAAAATGTAATAAAAGTCATTTTAAGCATTTTTAAATGAAAATAATGGAAAGAAGAAAATCTTTTAAAAAATTAAATTTTAACTATTTTTTTATTATTTTATTCTCCTTAATTTCGTTATTTTGTTCTGTGCAAGGCTTTTTATTTGGCAGTTTGGGCGGTGGTGGTGGCGGCGGCGGTGGAGGAGGAACTTGGTGATAATAAATTTTTAAATATAAATTCTAATTAATGATTTCTTCTAGTTGTTGTTGTTGCCCATCATCTTCAGGTCTATCAGGCTTTTCAAGTTCAGGTTGTGGAGGATGTGGAGGAGGTGGTAGCGGTGGATTTGGTGGAGGTGGTGGGCCTGTGATTGTGAATTGTGGTGGTGGTGGAGGGGGAGGATATGGAGGTGGTGGTGGTGGAGGATGTGGCGGAGGTGGAGGATGCGGTGGAGGAGGTGGATGTGGAGGAGGATGCGGCGGAGGGGGTGGATGCGGCGGAGGAGGAGGGGGATGTGGCGGTGGTGGAGGGGGATGCGGTGGCGGAGGAGGCGGTGGAGAAATATCATTAGGCCTAAGCTGTGAAAGTGGAGGCGGTGGAGGAGGTTGCGGTGGTGGCGGAGGAGGATGTGGTGGCGGTGGCGGAGGAGGATGCAGTAGTGGTGGTGGCGGTGGAGGAGGATGTGGCGGCGGATGTAGTAGTGGCGGAGGAGGATGCAGTGGTGGTGGCGGTGGAGGAGGATGTGGCGGCGGATGTAGTAGCGGCGGTGGTGGCGGAGGAGGTTGTGGTGGTGGTGAAGGATGTAGTAGTGGTGGTGGCGGTGGTGGAGGAGGAGGAGGTTGTGTTGAATCAAGTGCTGGATGTTCCGGGGGGTGTAGTAGCGGTGGTGGAGGAGGAGGAGGTGGTGGTGGAGGATGTTCTGGACCTAGCGGATGTAGTAGCGGTGGCGGAGGAGGCGGTGGAGGAGGAGGTGGTGGTGGATGTTCTGGACCTAGCGGATGTGGCGTTTCTTCCGGCCAATCTAGCAGTTATGCAGGACCGGTATATTGCGAATTAGTAATTGAATGATGTCTTTAATCGCAATTAATTTTAGGCTCAGTCCTCTTACATATCTGTTGGATCCAGTAGCGGTTATTCAGCACCTCAGAGTGGATATGCTGGACCTCAAAGCGCAGGATATCAACAGCAACCGAGCGGCGGCTATTCACAACAACAAGGAGGGTCCTACACTGGAGGAGAGCAACAACACGGTGGAACTTATTCTGGGGGAGAACAACAACAACCACCAACACAAGTCGGTACGGAATACTCAGAAGCAGTACCGGCCGCTCCTGAACCTGTTCAACCGCCACAGGCTCCAGTTCCACAGACTTCGGTTCCTGCAGCACCTGAACCAGTTTATTCACCAGCAGCACCTGCAGCTGCACCAGCGGCACCTGAACCAGCCTACTCACCATCAGCACCAGCAGCGACTGAAGCAGCACCACCTCCTCCACCTCCTGATACACATGCATATCAGGTCATTTAAATTCTCAGTATTATCATAATATCATTTATTTATTTAGGAAGTTGAACCTTCTGCGAGTGCTGTTGAACAAGATACCGGTAGTAGTGGAGGTAGCAGTCAGCCAAGTTATGGAGGCTCTTCAGGTTCTAACACTCCTAGCAGTCAACCAAGTTATGGCGGAGCTGCCGCAGCTGGTGATCGATTGCAAGAAGTTCAAGAAGACAATGACGATAATGCTGATAATAATGATGTTAATTTTCTTTAAAAATTCAAAATAATTTTTAAAATTTTTACCAGAATGATGGAGATGTAGAAGAATTACGGGGAGAAAAACAAAAAGAACAACAAATAACATTTTCAACATCAACAACAAAAGGAAAACATATCTCAACAACACCTTCATCATCCTCTCCTTTAAGAATTACCCCAGCAAATTTACCTAGAGCACCTTCAAGCAAAAGTCCTTTAGCTAAAGAAGTCCCTCGTTTACCTCAACAATTTCAACAAAAAGAAAAGAAAAAATTAACAGAAATAAAAGGTCAACAACAACAACAAACATCCTCAACATCCACAACACCTACAGCAACGGATATTTTTATTGAACCGATTGATATTGCTAAACTTAGATTATCTAATGATACGGAATGTAATAGTGAAGAATTGAGAACTATAGTTTTGGAGGTAAAAAGAAACATAATTACGACGTCCCTTCAGCCCCTTTATGTGTAAATAATTCATAAGACAACTCAAGTCGAATTGAGGGTGTAGTGAAAGATGACTTCGATTAGGGTTATAACTGGGACTAGGGCTGTGCGCCATTGCGTTTTGGAGCCCATTTTTAGCCGATTTTGGCGTGTGGCGTGTTTTAGGGATTTGAAAATTTTGGCGCATAGCCCTGACTGGGACTAGAAGTTGTAAATAAACCTCTTATTCCGTGAACATTAACCACTTCAGCACCTTTATGTCCAAATAACCCACAGGAAGTCTTCCCGAAACCATAGGGAAATCCTGATTCCACAATCTCTTTAGACTGTTAATCTTCTTTTAAATTTAAAAATAATTTCCATCACATATAGAATCTAACAAACGATGACCTAAACGCCGCAAAACGAACCATTCAATTACAAGCAGAAGCTCGTTTTGGAGGCAGATTTGACGTTATATGCTCTCACCATGATTTTTCTTATATTACAAACACTGAACTATGGTGCCAAGAAACTAGAGACAGTACTAGTTGTTATGCTTATAGGCAACTTGGATATTAAATTATTTTTAAAGGAAAATAATTTTTTGAGGAAACAGTTGGATAATTGATAAAAAAAATAAGAGGAGTGAAATAATTTAAAGTTCCAACTGTTTTCTAAAAACATACATAGTTTTTCCATGTTCTTTCATAAAAATGCTCTCATTCAGTAATTTATTTGCCTACATAAATTTATTCTTTTTTTTTCTAGTAATTCTCAAAGTTTTTAGTAATTTTAATAATTTTTATCATTTAATAACGTATTTTATTAATAAAAATATCCAGTGATTTAAAATAAATTTAATCTTGTCTTTTAATACGTAAGATGAGAGAAATTTGGTTCTCTTTGTGTTCCTATAAAAGCAAACTTAAACATTCCCACTTTCCAACGTTCTTCAATTTTCTTCACAAATCTACACGCTTCTCAACAAGTCCAAATGGATTCTACGGTTACAACGGCCATCAAGGTGGAGGAATACAGCTACAGCGCGGAACATCTGTCGGATGACATTGACGACACGCAGCGGGACATCACCGTCGAGGAGGACGAGCCAGCCGAAAACGAACCAGTGGAGGGCGTCGACTCGTGCCGTGAACTTCATGAAACTGCAAGGGAGACCATCAGTGACGAGGATAATGTGCTGCTGGGAGATGAAGAAGACGAAGATCTGCCAGCCGATGAGACGCAGAGGGAGGAGGAAGAAAAGGAAGTTGAAACGGCTGTGACGGACAGTGACGGAGAAGAGGAAGAGGTGGACATGAAAGCTCTGATGGCTGCTGAGCTCAATAACTACCCAAACATGGACCGTTGCACCAGTGACTGTGACACGGCAACTGTGTATTCCGAAGGCGAGGAAGAGCAGCCGCGCATGTACATTGTTGGAGAGACTAAACCAAGTGAGTTTTTAACATTTTCTGATTTTTATTTTCCAAAAAAAAATTTTTTTTTCCAGAATATAAGCTCTACCGAGCAGCTCGTCGTGCCTCATTCTATGCGGACAAGGAAATGGAGAATTCGCACGCCTACTACACCGACTACTCCAACGGCTTTGTGGTGGCGCAAATTGCAAATGGGATGATGGCAAACGACTAGAGAAAAGTGAAGCCTAAATGTAGAAGAAAGAGGATAATTGCTTTGTGATATATATTGTTTGTAAATGTATTGTGATCTTTTTGTTGTATAGCTATTGTATATTTTGTAAATTGTTCTTATGTAAATTGTTGAGATAATTGGTTTTGAGCTAGATTTTTAATAGATTGTCCAAAATTAGTGGCCAAAAATAGGTTGACACTTACTAAATCAATTCAGAAATTAAACAAATTTTATCCTAATTCATTTTATCGGCCTAAGAAAATCACTAGACAAAAACGAAAAACTTTTCCATAGTCAAACAAAAAAATTTATACACAAAACCAAAAATAGTCAATGTCTCGTTTCACTTATTAAATTTGTGGCCCTAAAGAGGGCCGTTTGGGTTTGGTTGTTTGTGTTCACATTGTAGTCATTCAAGTACGCTCACCACGAATTCGTCGGGCAAGTTGGATGTCTAAAAATTTAAAATTTTTGAAACTGATTAAAAATTCTCGAAAACTCACCCTTTGGCATGATGGTCACACGTTTGGCGTGGATTGCACACAGGTTGGTATCTTCGAAAAGACCAACAAGATATGCCTCAGAAGCCTCTTGCAAAGCAAGAACAGCGCTAGATTGAAAGCGAAGATCGGTCTTGAAGTCTTGCGCAATCTCTCTGACCAGCCGTTGGAAAGGAAGTTTGCGGATAAGCAATTCGGTCGATTTTTGGTAACGACGAATTTCACGCAAAGCAACAGTTCCTGAAAAATGATTTCAAAACTAGCTAGAAAAAAATAATTTTCTTGCCTGGGCGGTAGCGGTGCGGCTTCTTCACACCTCCGGTTGCCGGTGCAGATTTACGCGCAGCTTTGGTGGCAAGCTGCTTACGCGGTGCCTTTCCTCCGGTAGATTTACGAGCTGTTTGTTTGGTACGAGCCATTTTTGTTTTAAAGCTTTGTTGTTGTTTTTAACTTGTTGAACACTTTTTACTTTTGAAAAGTGAGGGTCATACCTAGGAAAGAGTCTTAAATAACGAGGTCACTTTTCTAACACGCCCACAAATAGAAAAAAAATGAAGCTAGTTTGCCCGCCAAAAATTTAAAAACAACATTTTATGTAATAGTAAGAGAAAAGAAAACGAGAAAAGATAATGGGCTAGACAACAAAAGAAAGTTTTTTATTCCATTTTTAAATTGGCTACCCTACAACTCATCGAATCCTTAACTCATCGAATCCTCAACTCATCGAATCGGCCAAAAACACTCAACTCATCGAATCCTTAACTCATCGAATCCTCAACTCATCGAATCGGCCAAAAACGATCAACTCATCGAATTTTTCCAAAAGGGGACGTTTGAGTCCCCGTGTTTATTTTTTAGATTTTTTATTGTTTTGTTTATTTTTTTTTGTTTTCTTCTGGGGTTTCAACTAATTTTGTTAATTAGTTGATCGGGCACTCATCCAAGTTTATCCGGCCAGTGAAAACATTATCAGAACATTATCTCATTCCTAATAAATTATGCAGGAGATTTTACCGGGTAAAACCGGACCAAATTAGTCCAGTAGACCCCGATTATGCCCAAAAGCCCTTTTTCCTAGCCTCCATAGCAGCAAAAAAATTTTTCAACGAAGATTCAGTTAGCCCTTTCGGGAGAAAAATAAAAACAGGGGACTCAAACGTCCCCTTTTGGAAAAATTCGATGAGTTGAGCGTTTTAGGCCGATTCGATGAGTTGAGGATTCGATGAGTTAAGGATTCGATGAGTTGAGTGTTTTTGGCCGATTCGATGAGTTAAGGAATTTTAGCCGATTCGATGAGTTGAGCGTTTTTGGTCGATTCGATGAGTTAAGGATTCGATGAGTTGAGCGGGCACGTTTAAATTTTGTCTGCTTGTCTATTCTCCAATTGCAACACTATCTCTATTGTCTCCTGCCCGTGTCCGGACAAAATATCGAATCGTTAAAATATGGAATAGGCTAAAAAAGGGTTAAAATCTCGAATCGGGTAAAAATGGGTTAAAATCGCGAATAGGCTAAAAAGGGGTCAAAATGTGGAATCGTTAAAATATGGAATGGTTAAAATCGCGAATAGGCTAAAAAGGGGTTAAAATACCGAATCGTTAAAATATCGAATTAATAAAATGTCGACACGGCCAAAATGGGTCAAAATGTCGAATTTTTTTAAAAAATGGCGCCAAAACCTAAAATCCGGGCGTTACCGTAATACCGACGGTATTTTTCGGTATTCCGTGTCGGTAGTACGGTACGGAATGCCGACCGATAAAATTTAAAAGCTGATCGGTATTTTTCGGTATTCCGTACCGTATACGGTAAGGTACAAAATTTAGGTCTTAACTAAAAACTAGTGACGCCACTCTAATTTTTCCGTATCAGGATCCTGTTGTGTTTTCCGGATCCGTACGATCATGCCGGACCATCCGGTCGATTATGCTTGATTTATACGGTCCGATTTTACTCAGTGAACTCAGGCAGAAAAGATTACGCCGGACTATGACATACGAGACTTATCATCAAATTATCAAAAATAAGTTGATAAGCTGATAAAATTATCAATAATCAATGTATGGCACTCATCTGACCCTTTTTTAAAAGAATTCGACATTTTGACCCATTTTGGCCGTGTCGACATTTTAACCATTCCATATTTTAACGATTCCATATTTTAACCCTTTTTTACCCGATTCGATATTTTAACCATTCCATATTTTAACGATTCGGTATTTTAACCCCTTTTTAGCCTATTCGCGATTTTAACCATTCCATATTTTAACGATTCCATATTTTGTACCGGAGCCCTCCTGCCTCACAACATGGCGTCGTTTCTGCGTCTCTTCTCAGCAAAGACCGCCCATCTTCTTTCCTTTCTATTTAAGATTCCTTCTTCTTGTCCACCTCACAGTTTCACTGTGTTCAGCAAAATTTACAAGCTTTCTTTCAACTTTAACGGTTATCAAAATAATGTCAGGACGTGGAAAAGGTGGCAAAGCAAAGACTGGCGGAAAAGCGAAGACTCGCTCATCGCGTGCCGGACTTCAATTTCCTGTTGGACGTCTTCATCGCATCCTCCGCAAAGGACATTATGCTGAACGGATCGGCGCTGGCGCTCCTGTCTACATGGCCGCTGTTCTTGAATACTTGGCTGCCGAGGTTCTCGAATTAGCAGGCAATGCTGCGCGTGACAACAAGAAGACCCGAATCAATCCACGGCACTTGCAACTTGCCGTGCGAAATGACGAGGAACTTAACAAGGTTGAGAATTTTTGTTCAGTTTCAAGTTTTTATCTTTAATTTTTTTAGTTGCTCTCTGGCGTGACCATCGCGCAAGGCGGAGTGCTTCCAAACATCCATGCCGTTCTGTTGCCGAAGAAGACTGCAGGCGAGACTGCTTGAATTGCTGTGACTACAACAACCAAACCCAAACGGCCCTCTTTAGGGCCACAAATGTAATAAGTGAAACGAGACATTGACTATTTTTGTTTTTTGTGTAAATTTTTCTTTTTTTTTAATTTTTGGAGTAATTTATTTAAAATTTGGCATTTTTTGACGCTTTATTTCGTGATTTGTCTCTTTTTTGATTATGAATCATTCGTATTGAAGTCTACAGGCTTGTTTAATATGTTTTTGGTTTAAGAAAATCACACGAAAACTAGGATTGCGAGCCTCGTAAATTTTGTTCTGGTTATCAACTTTGACAAATTGTAAGGTTTATTTAGGCCAGTAAATTTATTAAATGCAAAATAATAAATAAAAATTGTATAAATTTTCTATTTTTTTTTAATTTCCAACTTTTCGAGCTTCCCAGATATTGAATATTTATAGTGTGTCAGGATAATACTTAGAGTCAGTGCAAACCGCCGGCCGACCAAACGTCGATCATACGTTGAGTAGGATTACCGGCCATTCTACCTTACGGCTATTTGTTCAGACCAGGACCAGACAGCATTAAGTAAAAGCGACTTATACTTTTCATCGAAACTGTGTCTGTTATTCTACTTTGTCTTTCTATTCCAAATTTTTACCTCCGAGCCAAAAAGTTGTGATACAAGTTTGTAATTGTACGTTAATCTAGTTTATGTTACGGCCTTGTTAAATTTTCCATTCTCAAGCAGGTTGAGGATTGTGCTCATAGCGCAAAAATTGTATAAAAACCCAAGCCAAGCTGTTTTGTTTTTGCCCTCCAATTTTTGTTTTTTTCTCATCGAAAAAGCATAAAAGAACAAAAAACATTCCAAAAGTGGGCAATCCCGGAGAATTGGGGTTTCTTCGAATAAAAATTTTAAAAATAAGAAAAAGGATTTTTCTAGGGTAAAAAAATATGCTGATTACGAATCTGAGCTCAGATTTTGAAAAAGTCGAATCCCGGACCCGAACCAAATTTCGAACCCTGAAACCCGGATTTCGAATATGCACATGATAGCTCATTCGAAAGAGCTCGTCGAGCTGCATCGAATGATACCAAAATCAACGTGATTGGACATGTTTTGACAAAGTTATGACATAAGGTAGACCTATGGGCGTACTGTAGGAATCGGCGACATATGTCATAACTTTGTCAAATCTTGTCCGATTACGATGATTTTTGTGTCATTCGACTCAGCTCGACGAGCTCTTTCGAATGAGCTATCATGTGCATAAACTTTTTTTTACTCCAAAAAATCACCCCTATGGTTTTTCAATATTCCGGGGTCTGTATCTCGGTCCAACCACATCGGATTTCATCGATTTTGGTGTCATTCGATGCATCTCGATGAGTTCTACCTCCATATGAAAGACTGACCATTTTGTACAATGTCCGACAATGTCCGGGGTCAAATTCCGAATTCGGGTCCGGGATTCGACTTTTTCAAAATCCGAGTTCAGATTCGTAATCAGCATATTTTTTTACCCTAGAAAAATCCTTTTTCTTATTTTTAAACTTTTTTTTCGAAGAAACCCCAATTCTCCGGGATTGCCCAAAAGGGAATTAAACAATGGTGTTTTATTTTCAAGGAGACAAGGGAGAACATTGTCAACAGCACAAGATAAAAACCCCAGCCATATAAAAATCAAATGTGAATAAAAAATGGTTGAGTTAATAAGAGGAATTGTAAAGTAATGGGTAAAAAAATAATTTTATGAAGGATATCAGGTGATTTGAAAAGGATATCGATATTTAGAGGATCTTCTTTTAGTCTGCGATGTTTTTCTCATATCTACCCTTTATGGTATTTTTGAAATTAGTTCTTCAAAAATTACTTATCCTACTTTGACTAACGCCTCATTCACTTCACTCATTCCTAATGATTCAGAAACCAAACCAAATTGTTTGAATTGTCTTAAAATTGTTAAGGCTAGCCGAAAAAGAAAAAGCGAAAAAAACTGTATTAGAAACAAGACGTGCTGTTTAGTTACTTTTTTAAAGATGGAAAATAACGATAGAAAAAAAATTATAAACCATTGAAAGATAAACAAGAACACGTCGCAACGGGATCAAAGTTTGAGTTTTATCATGAACCTAAAAACAAAGTAGGGTAATAGTGTCGTTTCCAGTCCCCATTTTTCCTCCCAATTTTTTACCCTATGTTTGTACGGAATGGTCAAATTTTCCCCTTTCTTTCACCAAATTTGCCTTTCCATATTTTGCCTAAAAACAATCAAAAAGATTAATTTTTTATTCAGTTCTTTCACAAGGAGAATCACCAAGCATGGAAAATGTTTTCTGGCTATTATAGAAGGAAAAAGAAGTCTGTTTGATTGTTTTTAGGCAAAATATGGAAAGGCAAATTTGGTGAAAGAAAGGGGAAAATTTGACCATTCCGTACAAACATAGGGTAAAAAATTGGGAGGAAAAATGGTGACTGGAAACGACACTATTACCCAAAGTAGACATCAAAATAGACACTTTAAACGTCAAGGGCTATTTCATTCTCCAGCTAACAAAAATTGGTTTCCTAAAATTATCTCGCAAAAACCAAAAATTTTATTTGAGGTAAAGCAAAAAAGAAAAATAAATTTATACAAAATTCAAATAGTCAATGTCTCGTTTCACTCATTAGATTTGTGGCCCTAAAGAGGGCCGTTTGGGTTTGGTTGTTGTACTTTAGCTGCCTTCCACCAAAAGTTCTTTAGCCACCAAATCCGTAAAGAGTACGTCCTTGGCGCTTCAACGCATAGACGACGTCCATGGCTGTGACCGTCTTTCTCTTGGCGTGTTCGCAATAAGTTACCTGGGAAATTAAAAAGTTAAAATCGAAATTTTTCTTAAAAATCTTACCGCGTCGCGGATCACATTTTCAAGAAAGACTTTCAGAACACCTCGAGTCTCCTCGTAAATGAGTCCGGAAATACGTTTCACTCCACCACGACGTGCCAATCGACGAATTGCCGGTTTGGTAATTCCTTGGATGTTATCACGCAAAACTTTTCGGTGACGCTTTGCGCCTCCTTTTCCCAATCCTTTGCCTCCTTTTCCTCGTCCGGACATTTTTTGTTGTTATAAAGCGTTAAGATTTTAAGCAGTGAAATGTTGTACAGAAAACTGTGGAGAATGCTGTTGTTTTTCTACTTTTATATTTGTAGAGTCGCTTGGGTTCTTAATGGGCGTATACTTTGTTGGAAAATGAGAATAAAATAATACAAAAGAACACGTGTTTGTATGAGAGTGATTAGAGAAAAAGAGAAATAAAGCTTGCATTTTTGTCTCATACTCTCTTATTTTTATTTATACTCTACCTTTTTATTTTCTATATTCATTTAATAGGTTGGACATTAAATTCGATAGACACGCTTTTTTCTCTCTAACTTTGGGCGGGCAGACAATTTTCGCTTTGTATAAAAGTCTTATATTGACCATTTTTCTTCATTTTCCAACCGCTTTAAAAACAACGTTCAAAACTACATCAAGCTAAAATCTTAAATGGCACCTCCAAAACCTTCTGGTAAAGGAGCGAAGAAAGCTGTCAAGTCAACGAAAGCTGTGCGCACCGGAGACAAGAAGAGAAAGAAGTCGCGAAAGGAGTCTTACTCGGTCTACATCTACCGAGTTTTGAAACAAGTCCATCCGGACACTGGAATCTCCTCAAAGGCAATGAGCATTATGAACTCGTAATAATTTTGTTTTTACTTTTCGACACATTTTCTTATTTAAAGGTTCGTCAACGACGTGTTCGAGCGAATTGCTGCTGAGGCTTCACGACTTGCGCACTACAACAAGCGCTCTACCATCTCTTCGCGGGAAGTGCAAACTGCTGTTCGTCTGATCCTGCCTGGCGAGCTTGCTAAGCACGCCGTTTCGGAAGGAACCAAGGCGGTGACGAAGTACACTTCGTCCAAATAAATGGCTCAACATCGCCAAACAACAACCAAACCCAAACGGCCCTCTTTAGGGCCACAAATCTAATGAGTGAAACGAGACATTGACTATTTTGTTTTTCTTTGATAAAAACTTTAAATTGCTTTTGTTTCTTTTTTATTTTTGTCATATAAAACTCAATATTTTGTTTTACGTTTTACATACTTTTATGGTTTTGATTTGTTTTTGAGGTGGGCTAGGTTAGGTTTCAATTGACAAAACGGGATTTTTCGTGCGTATCGATGTAATTTTTGTTACGTTGTCTTGAATTACCGTTGTTAGGTAGTTTTGGATTTGTCCAGTTGACGTTTCAGGATGAATCGATGTTTGTATTCTTGGCGTTTTGTAATTTTTACTCGAGCTGACATTTTGTCCATTCTTTCCCTATTTTATTTTTGTTTTCGTAACATCCTCAAGGATGTTTGATCGACTTTTGATTGTTTGTATTGAGTAAATTTTGGGTACTCTTCACTTATAGCGGGTTTTTAATGCGTGGATAGATATGGACGTATGAGGTGTCATTCGACTTAGTTGACATTCGACCAAAATGAGCTTACTCCCCCCTTCTCTTTTTGAATTTTCTGAAGTCTGTAACTCGGTACCTAGGTACCGGACAAACTTCTCCCACCCCTAGTTCGACTCAGCTCGTCGAGCTGATTCGAATGACACCTCATACGTCCATATCCGTCCACGCATTAAAAACCCGCTATAAGTGAAAATTTTCAAATTTTGCCTCTTAAACATGAAACATCGTCGTAAACCTCAAACACCATTTTTCAGATGTAATTCCTCGAGATTATCGAGAGTTTATACTCGAAAACATTTCCGAATTGGTTACAAAAACTTTCAAATAGGTTTTATTTTTATTTGTCAGAAATTTTTACTAATTTTAGGCGATATTGTCCGCATCACAGATTCTACAGATGGAGAGGATTATTTCGCCCAAATAATTCAATTGATAGTAGACGAATATTCTCAAGGATTTGCTTTTGTTATTTGGCTGGTTCCAAAGTCTGGATATAATTTTAAGTCTTCTGATCAGTTTGAGATGTCAAATTATACTTCTTTTATGGGTTTGTTTTTTGCTACTATCTGGCTTTTGGGTCTTTTTTACTTTTATCTGATAGTGTTATACAAAACTTTTTTGGGCGTTTTGGAATTTAGCAATTCCTCGAAGAAACAACTCGCTAACTTATTGGATATCTAGTTTTGAGGACTTCACCCCAAAATATCGATGGCCATGAGCTAACCTTAGCGTGATCACTGATTTTAGATAATCACGAATATACAATATACAACCCATTTTGAGTGTCCGTTGATCGAAGTTTACCTATAATGATCTAATTATAATTTAAGCCCGTAAGGGATTAGATTCTGATGTTCTATTGATTATTAATTTTTTGTATTCTAGAAGAGGAAAAGCCAGTCCCTCTTAGCGCTTGTGAATTCGAGTGTCATTCTTTATTACCAAATTGGTCACCTGAAGACGAGGTTCGTGCGCAGTTTCGAAACGAATTAAAGGAAAGAATAGAGGCAAACAAAAGAGAAGGGATTTTCTAACTATTTTGACTTGTTCTTTTTAAAATAATTTAGGTTTTTCTTTAATAAGTTTTTTTTAAATTTTAATATTCTTATTTAACCTAATTAATTTTATTTTAGTAGCAGAACTTTTTCTGGTTATTGTAAATTAACTAAAATATAATTTTTGTTTCAATTCTTGGTACTTGTGAGTGATCTCTGACTAGTTTTTGCGGACATATTTTGCGGACTCGCTTGATGGACAGAATGACCAGTCTTCCTCAATTTCACTCTTCTTACATCATTCTTTAATCAAGGGAGTCCGCAAAAATATGTCCGCAAGAACTGAGTCCGCAAAAACTGAGTCTGCAAAAACTGGTCAGGGATAACTCACAAGTACCCAATTCTTTACTAATTATTTAACTAATATAATATTTCGAGTTTATTTTGTAATATTATTTATGAATATTAAATTAATAAATTAAAAAACAAATCTCTTTTTGATTCCATTCTAATCGTTTTTGTCAACGTACTTTTAAATTAAGTTTTAATAAATTAATTTTTTCCATAATTTAAATAGCTATTTACCTTCTACCATTAGTTTAACAAAAAATATTTTTTTAAAATGCAACGTGTTCATGCTTTGATAAGCGAGGATGAATTTCATAAAACGGTTGACTTTTTAATTTATAAAAAATTAAAAAAAATTTTTTATCTAAAGGATTATCTGCCTTCAAGTTGCTCTGATGTTTTGCTGCCAGCTATTAATTCGTCTATTAGGTAAATTTTGAAAATACAATTTTTTTATAAATAATTTTTTACAGTCGTTCAGCTACACCAGAAGTCAATTTTGATCTTAAAAATATTCCAATAGTAACGCCAAGAAAATTTATTCGGGCAAAGCGTTCTTCAAGTCGGGCAACTACGCTCACCGATTCTGTTTCGCGAATTCCAACAGTTTCAATTTCTTCGAATATTTGCTCTTCGGAAATGCCTAAACCTGTCTTGCAGAATATTGTTTCTACTGTTAATCTTGGTTTCCTTTATAATTTACTAATTTTAGGGGGATGGGATCTCTGATGGAATCAGGGACTTTCTAATCGTAGGATTACCTCTATTTTGGAATTTTAAATTGGTCCTTAGGAAGAAATGCTAAAAAAGTGCTCTTTCGATATTTTTAAGGCTTTTTTCCACGCTCGTTTTGCTGACTAAAACAACTTTACTTTTTATCTCCTTATTGTTTATTTTCTATCACATTTTTTGCTTAACTCACGGCTTGTTTACCTCTTCATAGTGACTTTCTTTTGACCTTTGAGGGTTTTTGGTTTTCTCAAAAGTAGCTTTTTAGAATCTTAAGCAAATTTATTCTATTTTTACTTATTGTTTAATTTCTCTTTACCCATTATCTAGACAAGAAGACCTTTTAAACATTAAAAAAATTGTACATCTTTTAAGATGTACGCCTTGATCTTAATCAAATTGCAAAAACAGCGCTTAATTCCGAATACAATCCTAAACGATTTTCTGCTGTAATTATGCGTATTCGAGATCCTCGTTCAACTGCTCTTATTTTTAATAATGGTTTTTCTTTTTTAATAATTAGAGAAAAAATTTTTTTAGGAAAAATTGTTTGTACTGGCGCTAAATCAGAAGAAGCTAGTCGTTTAGCAGCTAGACGTTTTGCTCGAATTATTCAACGTCTTGGATATAATGTTCAATTTAATGAATTTAAAGTTCAAAATTTGGTGGCTTCTTGTGATTGTAAATTTCGTCTTCAATTGGAAGGTTTTTTAATTTTTAATTTGATTTAAAATTAAAAGAGGAAAAATATATTTTATAAATTTTTAAATTATTAAAAAATTTAGGAAAAATTGCTTTTGATCGTAGAGATCAGCCAGCATATTTGACTAGCGGGTGGGGAGCCTTGTTTGTTTTTTCTTCTCTACTTCGGTTGCTCATCAATTTTTTTTCTTTATTCTGAGGATGTCTTTGGGAAAAAGCCTCATAATGGTTTAGTAAAAAAGCAGTTGTGGGTGTCAGTCAAGTGTGTTTAGTTGCTAGTCTTCAACTTCGTCCTGCATTTTTCTCCATCATACACGTCCTTCTACTTGTGTTCTTCGATCTTCACCAAATCTCTGATAATATTTCAATTTCTTCTATATTTTTTAATTCTCCTAAAGGCATGCCATCTACCTACATAAAACTTCTCCGTTGTAAAACAACATTTCTCCACAAATATTTATAATTTTTAGCTATATATTTGACGACAACGTTTTAATTTTAAAAAATTAAAACATAAATTATTTTAAAAAAACTACATTAATTATTAAACCGTCTTATTTAGGTAGTTTCCTTTTAAGTTTTTCTTTCTCTTTATTTTTCTATCTAAATTTTTTTAAATTTTTCCTCATTTCTTAAACACCCAATTTTGTATTTATTTTTATTTTCCTCTATTTAGGTTTTGCTATAACTCATTATCAATTCAGTACTTATGAACCAGAATTGTTTCCAGGACTTATTTATAGAATGGTTAAGGTTTGTAAGAATTCTTGTTTTTTTTTAAATTTTTCTCTTTAAACCCTAAAAAAATTTTGAACATCTTTTTTGGGAAATCTGAAGTTTCCCTTCTGCTTCCCTCTTTTTTGATTTGTAAATATGATTACTTTCAAAGGCGATCAGAGTGGTCCTTTTGCCTCATTTGGGAGGCATTCGTCCCCTTTTTGATCTTCTTGCCTCCTTTTTGACCGATTTCGCCCCCTTCTTGTCCCCTTTTTGGGAGGCCATGCCCCCTTTTGGTAATTTGGAAAGGGCCGCCCTTAAGACAATATAACATGAATTGAGGAGCTAATAACCACCAAAGTTCAAAATTCCCCAAAAAAATTTTGTGACAAAAATATAATTTTGACACAAATTAAATCAATTTATTTTTGTTTATTTAGCCTCGTGTTGTTTTGCTTATCTTTCTCAGCGGCAAAGTGGTCATTACTGGGGCAAGAAAAAGGGAGCATATTGATGAAGCTTTTTCTCAAGTAAAAAATTTTTCTTTTAAATTTTTTAAAAATTAATTTTAAAGGTTTATCCAATCCTGAAACGTTTTAAGCGTTGATTTTAAGTGTTGTAGGTTTGTGTCTTTTAAATTTACTAGAAATACTTTTCTTCTTTTGACCTCTTAAAAAACGAAAAAACACATTGTTTTTATATTTGTTCTTTTGTGCTGGACGTCTTGTTTGGAGTTTATTAAACAGAGAAATTGGGTTGATTAAAAATATTTTTGAAAAAAGAAGTCTAATCAATAAATGATTTACTTCAATCTGAATCACTTTGAATTTAATTTTAAGCCCTCTAAGCAATTTTTATAAGTTAGACACAAAAATTAACAATAAACTACCGACTGTTCTCTACAGAATTTTTCAGTAGCCCATTATTAAGAAAACAAGATTTCTCTGTTTAACAATTTTTAAAAGAAAATTCTTTTGCTTAACCTCCCCCAATTTTCTTTCTTGAATTTTTTCTTTATTCTGTTTTCTTCATCAAAATTGTTTATAAAAGATCTCTCTAATATTATTCCCCAAAAATATCTCAAAATTATCAAAATAATCTCATTGTTCAAAAATATTATTTTTTTTGTTTTGTTTGCTTTTTGTGCAAAATGATACTTGGTTGATTTCTTGCCTTAAATTATATTTTTTGTTTTTTCTTAATATTATTGTTTGTTGATAAAAATGCCGGTTATTATTTTTATTTATTTTTAAAGGTTATTTTAACTTTTAAATATTTTTTTTGTAAATTAAAAAAAAATTATTTTCTAAACTTTTAATTAGTCATGTCTTCACTCGTTCAAGATGAGACGGAATGCAAGTAATTTAATTAAAATAAATTTTTTTAAGTATTTTTTAAATTTAGATCAACTCTGGGTACTTTATTGTATACAGAGAGAAAAGTTTATGGATTTTCTGCTAAAGTGGTTGATGTAATTCTTCCAACAAGCAGTCTATTTGGGCATGTTGAATATAAATTGGAATTGAAGGTTTTTTTAAGTTTATGAACCTGATCCGTAAATTGGGGGAGACTATGTAACTCGTAGAAACTTGAGTTTGGATCTTCTTGTCTGAAATCCCGATTTAACGTACATTGGCTTTTCGATTAATTTAATATAATATTTTAAATATGGACTAGGAAGTTAATGGGTGAAAATGAATGGGAAATTTAACGAGCTCATTATCAGTAGGATTTAGACTAGGATCGGACGGGTTACCCGATCCGAACGAAATTTTTTCTCGACCCGTCCCATCCGTGGTCTAGACCAGTAATTTACTTTTCCTACAAAATTTTTTTTGATTAAATTAAATTTTTTAATTTCTAAATAGGCTTCACCACACAATGCAATAGATAATGAACCTCGTATTTTTAACATGTCAACACGTTTTAAAGTTATCAGCCGTCTTTACTCTACACTTGCAATGATTCATCGCAATGTTATTTTTTTATAAAAAATTTTTTAATTTTCTTCCAATTTTTAGCTTTATCTAAAAGACAAATTTCCATCCTTTGCCGAACCCAAATTTTTTGGAACAGCAAGTCCAGAGACGGTGACAGAAAGGAGGAATGCTATAGACACTTTTTTGCAATTTGTTTTGAATAATGAGGTTTTTGGGGGATTTTTTGACTTTTAAAAAATTAAAAAAAAATTTTAGACGCTTTGCAAGTCGAGAGCTCTTCAGGCTTTTATTGAGGTTTTTTTTGAATTTTTAGAAAAAAAAATTTATTTTAATTTTTCTTTTAGGAAACAAAAGAATTTTTGCCAACAGATAGCAACGAAACTGAAGAAATTGAAATTAAATCGAATGACGTTGAAAATAATAAAATTGAAAATACCTCAGAAAATAAGCAAAATGAAGTTAAAGAAAAGGGGGAGGAGAAGGAAGAAGTTAAATAAAAAAAATTAAGGAGAGGAAGAAAGAAGGAAGTAAATGAGAGAAGAATAAATGGATGCCTATGTTTATAAAAAATAATTAAAGGAAAGTGTTCTTTTTTGATTCTCAAAAATATCAACAAAAATTTAAAAGTAAATTTAAAATATACCTTAAAATATATGTCATTTAAATATTTTTTATGGAAATATAGAACATGCTCAATTATATATTTTTTAAATATTTATGTTAGTAAAGATGGGGATACTGAAAATCCGTGGGTCCGGAAAAGGGTTATATATCAGGGATCTAGCCGACATAAAAGTTCAATTCCCTATTTTCGGGAATCGGGATTCCCGACCCAAAAAACGTCGGGAATTCCCGCTTTTCGGGAATCGGGTCGGCTAGATCCCTGGTATGTATCAGTTTCGGTTAACCATAGAAGTTAGTGAAACCGACAATTCTAGTCTTGGAATAAAAAGGTGAAATTTAACAGGGAAGGGCTTATTGTTAGACCAAACAATTCTTTCTTTTTCCCCGTTTTCAAAAAAATGAGTCCCTTGTTTCGGTTTCTAATTTTAAAGTGTTCTATATACTTACTTAAAGAAGTTCAAATAAATATAAAAATAAATTTCCCATTTATCAAAAATTTGCCTATATAAATAAATCACATTAAATTTTACTTGAATAAAATAAAAATAATTTTCACGTAATAAAAATATTTTTTTTAAATTTATTTTTTAAAGTGTTTTTTCAACTAAATATTTCTTAAAATTTGTATTAATTTTTTAAAAATTTTTTAAAATTTATTTCACTTAAAGATTTTAATTTTTAAAAGAAAGATGGAAGAGAATAAAAAAGTTTATCGAATAAAACTGACAAATTTACCAAAATATATGGGGTTTGCAGATATTAATAAATTTGTGAAAAAGTAAGGAATTTATAAGTTAAAATTATTTTTTAAAATTTTTTCAGCAATTTGGGCAAAATTGGATTTAGTAAACTTAAATATAATGGACATGTTACTTTTTTTAATCTGGCATCGGAAGAAGATGCTAATGAATCTGCCAAAATTTTGAACAATTCGATATTTAAGAAGGAGAATGTTAATGCGGAAGTGATTGTGAAAAAGGGGGAAAAGGAAGAAAAAAAGGTTTTTAAATTTTTATTGATAATTTAAGTGGCTTCTGAAGTTTTTGAGTTTGAAGCCGGTACCGGATTCTGCCTATGATCCACCAACCATAATTGAGAAATTTTTATCTATTTTGGGGGGTCCTTGAGAATTGAAAAAGAATTAATAGGACTTTTGATGCCCGGGACTATAGAAATTTTCCGAAATTAGGGGCATGGAGTCGCGGACATATCTAGAACTCACATCTATTTTCGGGCAAATCTTATAGTGCTATAAAATAGTGATTGTGATTGTTAAAAATTGGTTGGCGTGTTTGGAATAATTTTCGGGTTTATTTTCTATCCATGAAGACTATTCTGTTATTTAATTTTCTGGTCTACAAATATTCCTTCCAAAAGGTAAAGACTTCCATCCAAGACTAATTTTCTAGAGCTTAGACGGAGGGGTCGGTTGGTATTTTTTCAATAAATATCGGAAACGAATACTGAAAAATATCGTATTGAGCCGGGCTCTACTATCTTCCATTTGTTTCTGGAAACCTAATAAATTTGTGAGAGGTCCCTTTCAACTAGCTAAATATACCAAAATTTAAATTTTAACCAAACTAAATTTTTTTCTTTTTAAGCCTGTCAAACACGCAAACACTTTTAAAACTGCCTCGGACATGGTTACTCCTCTAGCTAATATGCCTTATGAAGAACAACTTGAATTTAAATTTAATTTGTCACATGACATAATGCTTTATATAATCAGGAAATTAAATTATGCTAATGTTTATGATACTTTTTGTTATAATGTTTTACAAAAGGTTTTTTTTTAATTTTTTTTTGAAAATTAAGTGAGTGATTTTAGGAAGAATATAAATAGTTTAGAGGTGGATACGACCAGTTTTGGAACACAACCTTCTAGTTGAGGGGGGGTATCGGATATATTATCGGATATATATGGGGGTATCGGATATATTTTTTTTTCAACTCCTTTAAGCCTTTAGAATTTTTAATTAAATTTAATCTTTCCTTTATCTCTTAAAATGTAATCTTTCGAAATTTTCGGGTTTTATTGACGGTGTCGGATCCGGGGATTGCCTATGATCCGCCAATTTTATTGACATGAGAATTTTTTTGGGATGTCCAGGGATGTGTGTCTTTTCTCTTAAAGTGTAATCTGACCTCACTTTAAAATATATCCGATACCCTCAATTTAAGATAGAGGCAATACCTATCTAACAAATAAGCTTTCATTACAACATACAATTATGAGTGTTTACTTAAGATCAGAAGACTGGAAAAAATGAAGTCGAATATTTGGGTTTATAAATTTAATTTTTTCGAAAGATTTGAAAAATTTTTTTAATTTTAAAGGATCTGAAATGGAAAAATCGTCCAAACTATTAGAAAAATATTCAATCTATTTTTTTTCTGTTTTCTAGATCTTAAATAAATATTTATTTTAAAGGTTTTGTCAGCACCATCAATTACTGCTTATAGAAATAAATGTGAATTTACTATAGGATATTCTAAATCAAAAGATCAATTTAGAAAAGAGAAGAAATTAAGGGAAGAAGCTTTAGAAAAATTAAATGAAGAAGGAGAAGAAAATAAAGAAAAAGAAGTTGCTTTTTCTAAATCAATTATTGCCGGATTTATTAATGGAAAAATGAATAATAGTTATCGTGTTTTGCCTATTGAAGGATGTAAAAATTTGAGTTTAAATACAATTAATGTTGTTAAATATTTCGAGGAATTTGTTAATGAATTTGGTTTGTTCTCTTATTTTTTTATTTTTCAAAGTAAGGCCTGTGACCATGATTTTTTAGGGGGAGGGACTTTGGTTTTCTCACCTAATTCCTCCACCTGGTTACGGGTCTGGTCTAAAATCTTGCTTTGAAATTGAAGGTTTTTAAGCCTTTGAAATTGTCTATCTTTTTTATTCACAATTTCTTCTTTTTTATTAAATAGCACTGATTGTCAGTATCAGGTTTGTCGGTTTGGAACCGAAGAATCGAGGATTTTTCGGTTTGGTTCCAGATAACCGAAGATCCTTTAAGAATCGACAACTCCTTACTGACAAGGAAACCTTTCGAACTGTGATCAAAAATTTTTAGATAAAAATTATACCATCGTGTGGTTATATAAAATGGTCGATAACCTATTAGAGATTTTTGGCTTTTTTGGCTCCGACCCCTAATTTGAAAAGTTATAGGGCTTCAAAGTTTCCGACTTTTGGAAATTTTTTTAAATTTATTTATTCTTTCTTAATTCTTCACATTTTGACAGCTCACAATCTTGAATATTTGTGATATTTTTATCCTCCAATTAAGTATACAGGGTGGGGCATAAGTTCGGCGACAAATGTTTTTAATAAAATTTATTCGAAAAAAAATTTATTTAACATAAAAAAATGATAAGATATAATCAATAGGATATAATAATAATTTTATTAAAGTAATTGCTCAAAATGACCGCCCCTGACTGAAATACACGCGTCCAAACGCTTACGGTTGTGACTCACAATGGTCGCGCATTGTTCATAGGATATTTAGTTCCAGGCCCGCTCAAAACAAATTTCAGTTCCTCCTATGTTGCGTATCGGATTCGGCACACTTTTTGCTACAGAATTGCCCAAATAGAATAATCCACGGATTTAAATCCGGTGAGTTTGAAGGCCAGATATCTTTCCCACAAAAGCCAGGAAACAGCTCCCCACAGAGCTGGATTGTCGTTTTGGCTCCATGCGCGGTGCCCAATCCTGCTGAAGCGAGAATTGGGTTTCACCGTAACGCTATAATGGCCATGGATGACAAATCCCACTCAGAATGTCATTTTTTAGACTAGAATTAATTTTTACATTTCATCACTCTGTTGAGGCGACCAGCTGCGACCAGGCGTTTAATCTTTCGGTATTTCTGAAGCAGCTGATGCTTTATTCGATCGTTAAGGAAATTTGTGCGGCTGATCTTGTATCTCCGAAGTCTAAGCTTCACTCTGACAATATTCGGAGGCTCCTCGATCTCATTTCGAGCTCTGAGGCCATTTTTCGCAACGATTGTTCAGAAAAACGGCGAATTCGGAATCTGACCACGTTCATGTTTTCATGCGTAACTGCGGTTACTATCCAGACACTACGAGGGCGGTCCTGAGTATTACCAAGCTCAAGATATCGTTTTATTGCCTTGGAAACTAACATACGACAGATATCGAGCCGTCTAGAGATGTCACATTTTCGAACATTTTTAAAATACAAAGAAATAATAGAAGCATGATTCTTTAACGCTCTGTAAAATTTTTATTTTATGAGATAGGTAAAAATTTTCAAGATGAAATTTGTAGAGCGCGAATCATAGAATGAGGGAAATCTAAACAAAAAGCAAAATCTAAAGTAAATATTAGAAAAGGACAAAATAAAATTTGTCGCCGAACTTTTGCCCCACCCTGTAATAGAATTCGATAACTGCCAATGAAAAAATACTAGAATATTTTTTTTCTCTCTCCCGCTTTCAACTCTTTAGCTCTAAATTTTAATTAAAAATGTTTTTATTTCTTTAGATGAACGTCCATTTAACGAATTCTCAAGAAAAGGATTTTGGAAAATGTTGACAGTTAAAGACTTTCTTGGTGATTGTATGTTAATTGTTACTGTACATCCACATACTGATAAAGAGGTTTTCTTTTAATTTTAAATAGTCCAAAGAAAAGTTTCTTTAAAAGATTTGTTCAAAAATAAAGCAAAGACTTGTCGAGAAATTTCTTCATCCTCAAAATCCCGAAGATCTTTTGACTGATTGTAATGTTACTTCAATATTTTGGCAAGAACAAGTTAATTCTAGTGATGATAAAAATTATGAACATTTGGCAGGTTTGGAAAGAAAAAAAAATTTTTTTAGAAAATAGACTGAACGACAATTCACTGACAAAGACAATTCACCGAATGTCGTGTGTAAAGGAGAGGGAGTGGTAAAAGTTTAGTCCCGGGCAAGCATTAATCCTGCGATCTTTGACAGATTACTAGCATAAGTTTTTACCAGGTAGCTGCTCTACCGACAAATGTGAGCTACTAGGGCACTGCTCTCACCTTCTCTTTTTTACCTCCGCCTAATAAGCGTCTCGTAAGTAAATTGTGAAGAATTCTTAAAAATTCGTTATCTTATTTTCCTTACTATTGTTTTATCAAATTTATATTTCACTATTTTGCTCTCTTCATTAATTTTTTAAGATTTTCCACAATTTATTTACGATTAAATCTTCATTCGGTGAATTGTCCGCCCTTCAGTGAATTGTCCACTAAAATCCATTTTAATCCTTTTTAAGGTCCTCCATTTGTTTATGAATCTCTGTTGGGTTGTAATTTTCGAATATCTCCATCTACCTTCTTTCAGGTTTTTTTAAAATTAATTTTACTTAAAAACTTATAATTTAAAGACAAATTCAACTGGGGCAGCTTTGCTTTATTCAGCAATCGGAGATTTACTTAAATTGCCTAAATTAATTAATGCCCCAGGAAGTGGAAAATTTTGTCGAATGGAAAAATTAAAAAATAATAAAAATGTTTTGAAGGAAGAAGAGAAAATTGTTGTTGAAAAATTAGAAGCTAATAAATTTAAGGAAGAAGACAAAGAAGAATTTATTGCAAAAAAGCCTCGTTTAGATGAAGAAAAAAATGAAGATAATAAAGAATTAACTATAGAGGTTAGATTAAATTTTTTATTAAAAAATATTTTTGTTGTGGTATTATTTTAAAATATAAGACAAATTTTTAGCGATATGCTGGGGCTGTCCGAGCACTAGAGCTGTCCGAGACGGAAAATTTTTCAAGACGCAAGACCAAGACTTCATCCAAAGACCGAAAAACTTCAAGAAAAGTCTTGAGTCAAGACTCATGACCAAGAGTCTTGGACAGCTCTAGAATTCACTTTTTTTAAATTTTCCTTTTTTCTATCGGCAATTTTAAAGTAGCAGCATTTTCATTATTTTATCGTGAAGAGATCGAACATTTTTTAATCAAAAATCCTCGTTCTATAATTTTTTTCTATGCTTATGTAATAATCACAAATCAGTCAAAAAAGAGAGGGAGACTTCTCCAAAATCCAATTCTGCATGACTCTTTAATAAACGGTTCCAGCTTTTTTTTATCGAACTCTTGGGCCTTTCTGTTATTAGAGCTTTGGATATATCAAAAATTCTATACAATTTAAAAAATATTTCTATTCAATTTTAGCCTCAAAAACACGGCTCTAATGTATTTCTCGATATTTGTTGTGGTTCTGGTTCAATATCAATTTGTTTAATGGCCAGAATTAGACAATCAATACAAGAAGGAACAATTTCTGATTATTCAAAAGTTCCATATGGATGTGTTGGGATTGATTTAAATACTGAAGCTATTCAAGATGCTAGAAGGAATGCTTCAGAAAATGGATTTGATGATAAAAGGTTTTTTCTAAATTTAAATGGGAGGAATTCTTTAAGAAAAATATTTTTTAAATTGAAATTACCTTAAATATGATATGAAAAAAATGAGGATAAGTAACACTAAATGTAGAAATTCCCTTTTTTAATAAGCTTCTGTAAAGCATATGGAGAGCTGTGATAGGTAATAGATGGTGTAATAGGTAACGGCGAGGTGTAATAGATAACACATCAGTTTAGTCTACTGAAGTTGCTGGTTCGCTCCCAGCCGCAATAACTTTTTGCATAGATGTAAGAGAGAAATAACTAAAGCCCAGTTATGCTTTACTCTTCCTTTTTGAATAGAAGCACAATTTGTTACTCGTTATACATAATACTAATCCCAGACAATGTTTGGAAATCTAAAAATTTGCTCGTACTGGTATTCTACATTCATATAGACCTTATTCCTTTTAATTTTTTACTCGTGATTCGAGTTTCCAAATAATGATCCGATTCCATATAAATAAATAAGAAGCTTGAAATAGGCTATATTTTTTTATCATTCGCTTTGATTTATTTTCTTTCATTTAGGCAATTTTTTAGCTAGTCCTTGCTTCTAGTTTTGATTAATGTTTTTGATCTTTTTCAAGTCCAAAACATATTGTAAAAATTTCTTTTTAAAGTTGCAAATTTTTGTGTGGACAAGCAGAGAGTATATTCAAAGATTTAAAATATTATTTGCCAACTGGTTGTTCAATAAAAGATGCAAATATGATGGGAATACTTGACCCTCCTAGAGCTGGAATTCCAGACAAGGCAATTATTGGATGTAGAAAGGTTTTTTTTCGAGAAATTTTTTTATAAAATTTTTTTAAAGCTTGAACAACTAAAAACATTAATTTATGTTTCGTGTGACCCTCACGCTGCTACAAAAAATTTTGTTGATTTGTGTAGGCCAATGTCTTGCAAATTTGATGGACAACCATTTAAAATTGTTGCTATACAACCTGTTGACTTATTTCCGATGACTAGACATTTGGAATGGATTGTTAAATTTGAAAGATTTTGAAAGTTTAAAAATTTTTTTTTTCAAATTTTTCTTTATGGAAAACTTTAAAGTTTGAAATAAATTTTAAAAGTCCTCAGTAAAACATTCATTTTCCCAATACTCACAATCAGTTGAGAAGTTTATTATGGGTGAAATACTTAATCGTATCATCCAATGCTGTGTTTTGGGCATTTGTTGGCTCTGACCTTTCTCAAACATCGGCTCCAGACTTAAAATCTTGGCTCAGGCTCTGTGATTTTCGGAGCCGCTCCATGTTGGCTCCAGCTCCGGAGTTTTCAAAATCAGCCGGGCTGGAGCCATACACAGCACTGGTCCTATCTTAAATTAGTAATATTCGAGTTGGTTCTGGAGGTTCAAATAGTAGGAAAATTTGGTTGTGGTCTTTGAGATTTTTTCATTTGGTTGTTTTAAATTATTTAAAAACATTTTTCTTATAGAAAAATGAGAAAAACAATTTCATACTTTGTTTAGTTTTTTCTGTTGAATATTTAATTATCTCCCTACTAAATAAAAAACAACATTTATTAATCTTTACTTTAAAAAAACAAAAAACATTACGAAAACATTACACAAATATTTTTTTACTAAAAGAATTGGTAAAGCCAATTAATTAAAATAAGCTTGCGCATTTTTCCTTTCTTTTTTAAAAACTAATAATATTTTTTTTAATTATTTGAGGTAATATTTGTTGTTGTATTAGATGATTCTTGTTGTTGTTGATAAAATTGTTGTTGTTGATGTGCTGCCATTATTTGTTGTGCCATCATTTGTGAAGCTATTTGTTGTTGTGTTGCAGCCATCATTGTAGCTGAACGGCCAGTGGCAGCGATGTTGGTACCCAATGGAACTTCTCGTAATAATGGCTCGAGAAATGCAAAATGTGGAGTACACAGGATTGCTTGCTTTCTAAAAAATTTTTTTTTTAGATTTGGATAGAAAATCAGATTTTTTGATAAAAATGAGAGTAGTAACCCTTATTGGGGTGTTTACATTAGAGTTCAGCGGTTGGTTTTACAATTGGTTTTTGACCATGCTCTACACGATGGTATAACTTTCATAAAATTTTTACTCACAGTTCGAAATGTTCCCTTGTGAAACCAAGTTTACATCAAAATTTTTGCGACCAAGATAAAGAAGGGAGAGATTCGATTCTTTTCTCCTTCGAGTTTTATAGTTAGATAAGTGTGGAATCAAAAATTAAAATCAAAAAAATTCCTACATGTGAACAGGCGATAACGTTTTCGTACTGCTGTGTTGTAACGCTCCAGCCGCACTTTGCAACAACTTCTCGGCAAACAATTCCATTGCGCTTCCAATTGCAACAGGGACACTTGCAACCTTTTTTTAAATTTATTTTTAAAAAAATTACTTAAAAAAAACCATTCTGCCAATTTCTTCGTCACTTTGCATTACTTTTTTGATTCGAGTCTAAAATTTTTGTTTTAAAATTTGCTTTTAAAAATAAAAAAAATTTAACCGGTTGAATCCGCGCCATACTATAACGACGTTTTCGTATTCGCCCAGACCGAAAATCGCCATCTTCGGAGGAACAAGCTGCCGCAGTAGTATCTTCTTCAACAATTGGATTGGGTGGTTGGACTTGTTTGGAGTCCTGAAATTTGAATTAATTTTTAAAAAATTACTGGGATTAGCGCTAATATTATAAATATCCCATTTTTTCCTCTCCAAGTTCCTTCCTATATATTTGCAAAATGGTCAGACTTTTGCCCTTCTTCCGTCCCAATTTTCCTTTCTTCCATTCAAGTGGGAATAAAAATTACCTAATTCATTTGATTGTTTGTAAGTAAGGTAGTACGAGACAGTTTAATTCCTCGTTTATTTTCCCTGTGGCGAACTTTTCCCTTCTCTCTTCTCTTTGACCTGCCACAGGGGTCAAAAAGTCTTGTTTTAAACGGGCTCGACCTACCCTATTTGTAAGCAAAATATAGAAAGGCAATTGGGCTGGAAGAAAGGAAGAAGTCTGGCCATTCTGTAGATATTTAGAAAAGTTGGAGAGGAAAAAATTGGGTCTGTCAGATTTAAGGGACTGGGATTAGCTAAAAAAAATTTTCTCAAAAACTTACAACAATCCCCGCATATTGTGGCTGCTGATACATCATTCCAGCGAGGGCATTTTTTGTTGCCTCAACAAAAGTATTATTGTAATTTTGCTGACCACCAAAACTATCCATATATGGCAGTGTTGTTGTCCCCCCATTTCCGCCTGACATGCCATTTCTGTTGTTATTTTCGTTGTATATATTTGTAGTGGTATTATTGTTATTGTTGTTGCCACCCTGAATGAATAAATGAGAAGAGGGAGAATGATGATGAAATGGCAGTGTCTGCTGCTGCAGCATTTGAAGAGAAGGGTGTTGAGGGGGCGTTTGTTGTAATAAAGCAGACATTGAAGAATTTTGTTGTTGTTCTAAAGTAGCTGCTGCTGTGGGTATTAACGTTGTATCAACTAATCCACCAGCATTTAAACTGCTACTGTTCATTTGCTAAAAAGTGCCTTCTTGGTCGTCTTGTCGAAAATACAGAAAAATTGAAGTAAAATCCGCAACAATTTAACAATTCTGTGAATATTCCCATTGTAAAGGTTAAAGGGGTTTAGGGTTTTTAGAAGTCGAATTTAAAGAATTTCAAAAGATTTTTTAAAAAAGTTTGGTATTTGCTAATCTAAGCGTTTTTCCTCTCTTCTTATCTTTTCTCATCGACAAACAAATTTACAAATAAGTTAGAGAGGAAAAAGAAGCGATTTTGTGGTGTTGGAACCTGTTATCTTAGTGGTGGAAAAAAGGAAATGACGCCTAAAAGGAGGAGAGAGTGAATTAAACTTACTGGAAGAGAAGTCAGAGAAAGGCAGACACTGAAACGAGGAGCTGTTGAACAAACGCTCAGCTTGCCCTGTTAAATAGGCTGGGATTGGACTGGCATTTTGTTTTTAATGCCAATTTCGAAAATAATTAGCACAAAAGATTAAGCCTGTACAAGTTAGAGAAGCAGAATAAAAAGATGAAGTAAAGTTGAGAGAAAAAGAAAAAAAGTAAAAGAAATAACATAAAGAGAGGGGAAGAAACAGAAGTTTGCTAATCCGATTTTAATTTTTGTGGGAGGTTTTTTGTGGTTAAGTGGGTTATTTTAAGCTTTTTGGGGGGATTTTGGGGGTTCGAGTCTTTTTTATTTGTATTTTACTCTTAATAAAAAAATTTTTTTTGAAATTTTAGAAACATTAACTATTTTCTTTAATTTAATCGCTATAAATAAAAATGAATGAACATGGTAAACAAATTAGACTTCCAAAGAAGGCGGAGAAAGTTAAAAATAAGACACCAGCTCCAGTTCAAATCACTGCTGAACAGCTTCTTCGGGAGGCTAAGGAACGCGAATTAGAGGTTTAGATTTTAAAATAATTTTCAAAAATAATTTTGTGTATGTAGACAGTCCCTCCACCGCCCAAAGTTCGAATTACTGACCCGGAAGAATTAGCAGAATATCACAGAAAGAAGAGAAAAGAATTTGAAGATAATATTCGAAAAAATAAAATGCAGCTAGCTAATTGGATTAAATATGCAAAATGGGAAGAATCGGTTGGTGAATTACAACGGTCAAGATCTATTTTTGAAAGAGGGTTGGATATAGACCACAGAAATATTACTGTTTGGTTACAATATGCGGAAATGGAAATGAGGTTTTTTAAAATTTATATAGGGGTGCTGCCTCATATTCTTGAAAATTAAATTTATAACGAGGGGTCACAAACGGGGAATGAGCTAGTACCATTTTTGTGGGTCACAGATGGTAGCTTATTCGACTTGGCTCGTCAAACTGACAATGAGTCAAACTACTCTAATTTCGGGTTAGAGGGACTTGATTGATGTAGATTAGGTTGTGACCAATTGAAGTCTCACTGAAAAAAAGTCTCAAGCTATCATTTGTCTTTATCACCCCTAATTCTAAAACGCTGACCGATGGAATATAGAGGATTTTATTTTGTTAACTTTTTATGTGGGTTTCTCTCAGAATTTAATCGTTCAATAACTGACTGATTAAAAAAGACAAACTCACAGAAAGTCCACAGGAAAAGCCTCCCATTTTCAGTATTATCCAATATATTTTAAACTTTTCCTTCAAGGAATAAACAAATTAACCATGCTCGTAATATTTGGGATCGTGCTGTTTCTATCCTTCCACGAGCAACTCAATTTTGGTTAAAATTTACTTATATGGAAGAACTTGTTGGTAACGTTCCTGGTGCTAGACAGGTTTTCTTTAAATATTTTTTGGTATTTTAAATAAAAATTTTTAAGGTTTTTGAACGTTGGATGGAATGGGAACCTGATGAGCAGGCTTGGAATACTTTTATTAATTTTGAAATGCGTTATAAAGAGATTGATAGAGCGAGGAGTATTTATCAGGTTCTTTATTTTTTTTTCTATTTTTTTTAATTTTTAAACTGATTGTGAGATTAAGTTAATTTTCGGTCTGCTCCGTAAGTTCAACACCCTAGTGATCTACTGGACCTATAATTCAAGTTCAAATATTTAATCTTAGGGTTAGTTAACCACTATGTTTTAACCTGCTGACCTTCCGAATTATTCGTAATTTGCATATCTTGGTTACTTTTACGGTTATCCTCTCCATTTTTTTCTTCTCCTTCCCTTCTTTTTCCAAAATAATGGAAATGGTTTGTAAAATTGATTACAATTTTTTTTGATTTGATTTAATAAATTTGACCTTTAGATCATTTTTAATATTTTAAGAGTCAAGAAAATGAAGGGAAAGGGTAAAAGGAAGGTTAATTTTTTTTGACTTAAACATTATTTTAGAGATTTTTACACGTTCACGGCCATGATTTCCGTAATTGGGTTCGTTATGCACGTTTTGAGGAACGAAATGGTTCTATCGACAATGCCCGCGCTGTTTTTGAGCAAATGCTTGAATTTTTTGGAGAAGATGGAATGAATGAACAAATGCTTGTTGCTTTTGCACATTTTGAAGAACGGCAAAAAGAATTTGAACGTGCTCGGATAATTTATCAATATGGCCTAGGTATGTTGATTCTAAAATTAAGGTTATGTTTAAGTTGATTTTTCTGATTACCTCCCTTGTTTTGTCCTATCGTGCGTATACAATTTTTCGTGAGAACAAAATTTCTTTTACCCTTTAAATCTGCATTTCTCATCAGAATGGTGCTATTCCAAGTGAACCAAAAGTTGGTCGATCCGTATCATAAAAATGTCAGGATATCACAAGATTTTCGTTTCGGACAACGGATCTTATTCTGGGTATCAAACAAATTATTTTTAGGAACAGCCAACTCTGCCGTGGATGAAAAATCTTCCCCTCGTGATTTCTCTCACTTCCCTCCATTTATTTCCTCTAGATTTTTAAATTAAAACCATCTTTAAAAAATTTTTTTCCAGATCATATACCAAAAGAAAAAAGTGTTGAACTCTTCAAATCTTTAACTGTTCATGAAAAAAAGTTTGGAGAACGTTTACGTATTGAAAGTGTTATTTTATCTAAACGAAAAGTTCAATATGAAGAGGTTTGTTTTAATTTAAAAATTAATTTTTAAATAAATTTTTTAAGCAAATAAAAGAAAATCCTTTCCATTACGATGTTTGGTTTGACTATACACGTCTTTTAATTAGTGAAGGACAAGAACGAGCGGAGGTTGAAGATTGTTTTGAAAGGGCTATTGCTAATGTTCCTCCATATATGGTATATTTATAAAGAAATTTTAATTGAGTCGAACCTAACTAGAATATAAGATACACTCAATATACGAGGGATGGATTTTCTTCCTTCCGCCGAATTCCGTCGTTTTTGGTTTTCCGCTTCCGTTTTTTAAATCTCTTTCGTTCCTTCCGGCTTCCCCTTTTTAAAATCTAAAATTATTTTTTCCTGCAATATACCTCTATTTAGGATACGTCTCTTAAATTAAGCAATGTTCCCAATTTAAGCTACCCTTCATTATAAATTACCAAAGGGTTATCTTTTCATCCCAGAGGGTGTATCTTATAATAAGTTCCTATATATTGCTTTTTATCCCTGACACCTAACCCTGGGGTACAGCCCAAAACAACGCGCGGCCATAACAACGCAAAGCCAGAACTAGCTGAAGAATTTCTGGCCCTTATCAATTTTAGTACCAATCTCTTTAGCTCGAAGAGAGGATTCGTTTAATACTAGATCTGTTAAGATTTGGAAATTTTGAAGCAAGTTATAGCTTTGCGTTGTTATGGCCGTGCGTTGTTTTGGGCGTGTCCCCTAGCCTTTCAAACCCTAAAGGGTCGGTCTTTAACCTAGTATTCCAAATATTTAATTTTTTAGGAAAAACGTTATTGGCGTCGTTATATCTGGTTATGGGTTTATTATGCAATATATGAAGAATTGGATGCAAACGATCCTGAACGTTGTAGAGAGGTTTTTTTTAAAAGAATTTTTTAGAAAAATTTATTTAAAGGTTTGGACTGCTTGTTTAGATATAATTCCTCATCGTCAATTTACTTTTGCATTTATTTGGTTAATGTTTGCACAATTTGAATTACGTCAACTTAATTTAACTGGGGCACGTAAAATTCTTGGTGTTGCAATTGGGAAATGTCCAAAGAAAAAATTATTTCGTGAATACATTGAAATTGAGCTTAAATTGAGGGAATTTGATAGGTGAATATTTTAAAAGTTTTTTTTTGAAAATGCAATCGCGTCGATAAGGGTATTTGCAGACAAAAATGCAAGAAAAGGAGTGAAAAGTGGGTATTCTCTTTGCAGATAGGTAGGGAGTCAACTGGACATTTGCCGAGTGTCCTCAAAAAGACATCTGTCTTCATAGAAAAAAAATTCATGGATCACAACACTTGACTTGTGTGACAAGTTCAAAATCAGAAGGAAAGATGGTTGGAAAGTGAGATTTCTCAAAAAGTGAAAAATTAAGTCAAAACACCTATGAATAACTCAAATTTTTATTTCACCTCATTACCAAACAAACAAAGCTCGAACAAAATCATTCAAAACATTTGAAGGAAAAGTACAAACAAAAACCCTAATCTTTTTTCTACCTTCCTAGCAAAAACAAAAATTCAAACAAAAAAGAACAAATTCAAAAAACAAATTTTATTTACAAAATTATATAGGGACAATACAAAAATTATATAGGGACAATACAAATTATATAGGGAAGTGGTCCTATATCATCCTTCTTTACTTCATCTTCCATCGTCCCGCATACTCATGCAGCAGCCATAGGAACGTCGACCTTGAACTCGCCAGAAGATCCAGGAGGGAAGATGGCCTTGGCGTCCCCAGCATCTGGAGGAGCCCCAGCGAAGCAAATCTCGAGCTTGTCATCACCTTTTGGCGGGCCGTTCTGGCGGATCACTTCGACTTGGGCAGCGGCGCTCCACGAATCCGAAGACGGGGTTGACTCGGTAGTGCTCGTTATTGCTGGACTTGAGCTTGAAGGCAAAGCGGACCTTAAAAATTAAAAAGAACGATTTTGATTATAGGAATGATTTGAGAGAGAGAAAAGAAGATGATTTGAAGAAAAAATAAATACTACCTCAGGGTTGCCGTTCATCAGCTGAAGCGAGACGTTGCCTCCCGAAGCAGGGACCTGGATAGCAGCTGGCTCGACTTGGACCGCCATGTTGTTGTTGTTGTGAAGATGGTTGTTGATTGTTTGAAGAGTTGTCGTTGTTGAGAGTTGGTGATCGATGATGATGACAAAGCTTTTATATCATGATTTCTGTGAAGAAATCACACACACCCAGCCAACTATAAAAGTCCACTGATTTCGTTCAAACGCAACTCTCAACAACGACAACTCTTCAAACAATCAACAACCACCTTCACAACAACAACAACATGGCGGTCCAAGTCGAGCCAGCTGCTATCCAGGTCCCTGCTTCGGGAGGCAACGTCTCGCTTCAGCTGATGAACGGCAACCCTGAGGTAGTATTTATTTTTTCTTCAAATCATCTTATTTTCTCTCTCTCAAATCATTTCTATAATCAAAATCGTTCTTTTTAATTTGTAAGGTCCGCTTTGCCTTCAAGCTCAAGTCCAGCAATAACGAGCACTACCGAGTCAACCCCGTCTTCGGATTCGTGGAGCCCGGCGCCGCTGCCCAAGTCGAAGTGATCCGCCAGAACGGCCCTCCAAAAGGTGATGACAAGCTCGAGATCTGCTTCGCTGGGGCTCCTCCAGATGCTGGGGACGCCAAGGCCATCTTCCCTCCTGGATCTTCTGGCGAGTTCAAGGTCGACGTTCCTATGGCTGCTGCGTGAGGATGCGGGACAATGGATGAACACAGATGATGCTGATGATGTGAATAGGACAATATGTAAATTGTGATATTTCTTCCATATATAATGTACTCCTAATGTATTATGTATGTATAATTGTAAATAAAATTGTTTTTCTGAATTTGTTTTTTTTGTTTGTCTGAAGTATAGAGTCATCTGTAGGGGTTTTTGAATGAATGCTTTTTCATTTTTTGATACCACACACCTTTCACTTTTTTCCAACCTTTTCCTTTCCACCTTTTCCTTTCAAGCTTAAAGAGGAGTCGATTTTTGAGTTGTTTTATCCCAGCTATTCCAATTAAGTTTGCGCATTACCTCGTCCAAAATTTATTTTCCAATAACCCTCAAAAATGTCCAGACACGTGTTTTGCCTTCGTAACCTTCGAGAGTTTTTTGTCATCAGATTCAACAAATTTTTTAAAATAATTTAAAAAAAATTTTTTTCTCTAGATGCCGTAAATTATACGAACAATTTTTAAAATTTGTTCCCGATGATAGTATGACATGGATGAAATATGCAGAATTAGAAAATTTATTGGGAGATGATGCTAGAGCTAGAGCAATATTTCAAATTGCTGTACAACAGCCAATGTTGGATATGCCTGAGGTTTTGTGGAAAGCTTATATTGACTTTGAAATTGAACAAGGGGAAAATGAAAGGGTTAGAATTTTGTATGAAAGTTTGTTGAGGCGTACACAACATATAAAGGTTATTTTAAATTTTTTGTTAAATCTAGGGAAATTTTGGACAATTTTGTTGATTTTTCATATATTTAGTTGTAGTTAGACAGCTTTTTAGCTGTAGTTAGAGATATAAGATACCTCCGATACATATTAGATAACCTCATTGTAAAATTTAATTTGTGTGACTGCCTTTTTTAGAGCTGCTTAAGAGATACACCTCTATCTAATCTTCTACCCCTCATTATAAAATATGATTTTATCCGCTACAAGGGTGTAAGTTATGTTTGGCTCTATTACTGTGACAAAAATAATTTCGGATTTTCTGGACCTGTTCATTTTTAATTGTTTTTAAAAAATATTATTTTGTAATTTAAAGGTTTGGATAAGTTGGCTAGAATGGGAAACATCAAATGAAGAATTCGATAAAGCTAGAGCTTTGTATAAACGTGCAAATCAAGCATTGGAAGGATCACCAGCTGAAGAACGTCTTTTACTTTTGGAACAATGGAAACAATTTGAACAACAACACGGAACTGAAGAAGAACAAAAATTTGTTGAAAAAATGATACCAAAACGTGTAAAGAAGAGAAGACAAATAATTGCTGTGGATGGGACAGATGCTGGATGGGAAGAATATTTTGATTATATATTCCCTCAAGATCAAGGTTTCTTTATAGCGAATAATAAATAGGATTGTCGGTTAGGCACAGTACTGTGACACAGCAACATAAAACAGGCAGAGGGTGCAACCAGCCTTTCAGTGCGGGAGTATGGTTTAGTTGGTTAGTGACAGCGAAAAATGCACAAGGTTCGAATCCTTTCAGTGAAAATGAATTATATAATAAGGAAATCCTAATAATATCTTTTCTAATTAACATTTAATGTCATTTTAAATTAAAATAAATTTTTTCAAATCAATCTTTCCTTTATTTTTCATTTTCTAAATTTACTTATAAAACCATATGTAACTTTTTTTAAACATATTAAAAATCAATAAATTTGGTTTTAAAACAAAGATAAGACTTTGTTTAACGATTTGGCTAAGTTGAAATTTTTTTCTCAAAGTTTTTTTTCGAGATAAAGCTTCTCGAAATTATACATCAAATCTTTAGAGAAATAGCATGCGAAAAAAATAGAGCGATATAGAAAAAGAGAAAATTTTTCATTTATTTCAGTGCCACTGAAACGGCTCTAAGTTGCAGGTTATGTTGCTGTGTGTGAGGGTATCTGAAAATTTAGGTTCGATCCTTAGGTGCTTTCTGTCTTCGTCTGAAAAAGGGAATTCCAATTTCTTGACTCAATTTCAAAATAGTTTTTGACTTACAATTTTTTGGTTCAAGCATTAGAAGGTGTATCTTAGGTTTAGAGAGAATAATAGGATTGTCGGTAGGATCAGAACTGAGGGTCAAGAAATACGAATTCCCCATCAAGGTGGGGGCCTTGATGAGATCTTCAGATGTTCAGGTCTTCAGATTTTCGAAGAATTTCCTATGCCCGACATATCGAAGCTTATCTAAAATTAAATAAAAAAATTTTTCAGCCTCAAAAATCAATTTCAAATTACTCGAAGCTGCCCGTGCTTGGCGAGAGAAGCAAGCATTGGCTATGCAACCTGAGCCACACGAAAGAGAGGACGAGGAAATGGAAGAATCTTAAATTTATTTGGCGGGTTTTGTTCTTAAAAATATTTTGAAGTTTTGAGAGATCACTTTATTCTGTTAGATCTCTAATTAAAAATTTTGTATTTAAACATTAAATTATTCTTTGGTTTATAAAAATTAAAGATATTCTTTGATTTATTATAAGGTTGACGAGCTTACTTTATGGTAAGGGACCCGAGACTTTTTTTTCTAAAATCGTCAGTTTGGCATTTCGACACCTTGAGGATTTGACTTCTCGGCTATTACGGAGACAAGAAACCCCACTTTTAATTTTAATCTACCCCTCCTTCAAAATCTCAAGAGAAAAAACAATCCAAAACCTTTACCATTAAAAAGCCGAATAATAATGAGAAAATAGAATTGATTCGTGTAATTTAAAAAGAAACGGAAAACTTTGGCTAGCATTTTCCAACATTTACTGGGGGAAGAAAAATAAATCGGAAAATAAATGAAAACACAAAATATTTTTTTTTGATATTATTCTTTCTCCATAAATCCTTTTTTTAAATATTTTCCATTCAATCCTTTGCTTATTCCGTTCCATTTTTGTTGGTGTTGTTTCCAGATCGAGTTTCAACTAAAAAAATTTTTTTTAGAAATTATCCAAAACATCCCCCTCTCCCCTTTCTAAAAACTTACTATAACTTCCAACGTCAATCTGTTCTGGAAGCTCTGCAATTGTCACATCAAAACGATCTTGTACACTGTTCAATGTATTCGCGTCAGCCTCGTCTGAAACAAATGTGATAGCAAGTCCTTTTGTACCAAAACGTCCAGCACGAGCAACCTAAAAGTTAAATCATGATTTTTTTGGGTAAATGAAAATATAGAGTTCTGACTAAAGACTTCGTCCCACCAAAACCATTTCTGATTCGAAAGGAAAAAATTTCCTGAGGTTGACACCTCAGACTTTATTTTGACTTCCCAGCCCTAGTTAATCATTTAATAAAAACTCACTCTATGCAAATATGTATCAGTATCTTCAGGCATGTCATAATTGAAAACAATGTTGACACGCTCAATATCCATTCCACGTCCAAACAAATTAGTCGCAACAAGAATTCTTTTCTGAAAATCTTTAAATTGTTGATAACGGCCAAGACGTTCATCCTGCGGCATTGAACGATGAATGGCGATGGAAGGAAAGTTTTGTTCAATGAGGAGTTGATTCAAAGCTCGGCAACGGGTGACGGAACGCACAAAGATGACAACCTTAAAAATATTTTCAAAAAATTTTTCCAAAGAAAAACCTGATTAAATTCCAAAGCATCAAGCAAATCCAACAATTTCCTGTTCTTTTCATTTTCCTTCAGACGAACATAGTATTGTTGAAGACCGTGAAGTGTAAGTTTAGCCTCATCGTCAACATAAACTTCCATAGGCTGAAAATTTTAAAAATTAGAAAAAATAAAAGGAAGAAAACACAAAATCAGACAAAATGAGTGATTAAAGGAAGAGAAATTGCATTCAAAAAGGGATTTTTTGATAAATTTGTAATGATTCCTTAAAGCTCCCCAAGGCTAAAAAATTGAAATTTTTGACTAAAAAACTGAAAATTTCTGTTTTTAAGGATATCACTTATTTGTGGTACTTAAAAAATGCCAAGTCCAAATTGTCAGAAGTGGGAGGAGTAAAGTAAATTCTTCATCAATTATAACAATAATAATAATAATAAAGCCTTCAGCGGAGCCTCTCGAGCGTCTCCGGCCATCAAAAAACATTAAAAACAGGCCAAGAGCAACTGCACGATTTCTGTTCAAAATTTTAAAAATTATCAAAAGAACCCTTCCAAAAATCAAACCTCGTAGCAATTACTCTTCTACATCCAAACAACACGTTCCAACAGTGAGGAATTGTGTGTCTCTCACCGGCGGCGATCGAGAGACATCTTATACACCAACGACTTTTTTAAATTTTTTTGTTGTTTTTGATCAATTTGAGTTCTCAATTTGAGTGGAAAATTTTTGAATTTGGTTAAAAATGGTTGGAATACGACGCGCGAAGAGAAAGAATTATTCCAAAAAATCTTTCAAGTCTTGGCCATTATATACAAAAATCCGCTCCAATATATACAAAACACAAATGTTTGCCGTAGTGTTTGCACAACGACGGTCTCGAAAGTTTAAATATAGCCCGGAGAGTATTTTCCAACAGAGCAACAACACAAATAAACTTTTTTTGAGAAGATGACTCACTTCTTGCATAAATTTCTTGCAGACGACGCGAAGCTCCCGTGGAAGTGTTGCGCTGAACATCATCACCTGTTTCTCCTGTGGTGTCATTTTGAAGATTTCCTGGACATCATGACGCATATCTGTCAAGAAAAAACAAATAATTTTAAATTAAATCAAATTTTTGACTAACCAGCGTCCCCAATCATTTTGTCACATTCGTCTAAAACGAAGAATTTGATGTTTTTCAGCTTCAATTGTCCTGTACGTCCCAACGCCAGCAGACGCCCTGGAGTGCCAACAACAATGTGCGGAGTGTTCTTAGCCAAAGTTTCCTCGTCCTTCTTAATCGGCATACCACCAAAGAAAACCGAAACCTTAAAAGAGGTTTTATAGTTGAACAATAACTTTAAAAGAAACCTTCGTTCCGGGCATATATTTGCTAAATCTTTCGTATTCCTTTGAAATTTGAAAAGCAAGTTCGCGAGTGTGACACATAACGAGAACAGAGACTAAAAAAGGAAAAAGTTTAACATTCAAAAAAGTTAAAGAACTAACCCGTCCCGTCAACTGGAGTCAATTGTTGAAGTGTTGCCAACACAAATACAGCTGTCTTCCCCATACCAGACTTTGCTTGGCAGACAATGTCCATACCCAAAATCGCTTGAGGAATGCATTCATGTTGGACTAAAAAGGAACAAAAATACAGCTTGTCAACCTCATCTTAAAGGTAAACCTTCAGAAGGATGTTCAAATCCACAGTCGATGATCGCACGAAGAAGTTCTGGACGAAGCATCAAATCTCGAAATCCGCTGCTGTGAATACTGGCATAGTTACCCTTAAAGAATAAAGTAGAATAGTCTAAAAACAGCAAAATAACCTTTATCTTCTTTGAAGCATCTCCATTTTCAGCAATAGTTTTAGCCTGTTCTTGAGTTTCGTCTTGCTCCTCTTCATAATCCAAAAGTTGTTCCTCGTCCATTTTTTTTAATTAAAAGTTAAATTGAATAAAAGAATTTGTTTGTAAAAAATCAGATTTTATGTTTCTAAGGAGTTAAAATTAATAAATTAGTTGTTAACAAAAACTTTAACAGGTAGAGGTAAATTCTGGTTTTTAATGCTAGGGCTTATTTGGCTAATTTGCTTCACTAGACACACCAAAATCAATAAAAAGGAATCTGTGCGGTAAAGCTAGCATTTAATATGCTTCAGCCAAAGAAATGAGAACGTGTGCAAGGTGGATTTCGTTATTAAAGAATGGCGGATAAAAATTAAACATTATGACAATTTTGTAAAATTAAATCTTTTTAGGCAATTATTCAAAATTACTAACTATTTTCAGTTCTCTTTCTCTAACCTTTCCATTTTCCGGAAAGGACGTTTCATCACTAATTTCATCGCTAAGTATGTTTCATCGCCAGAACATTTTTTGACTCTACAGTAACTATTATCATTTCTCTCTCTCATTTTTCTTTTTTTTTTCTCTAACTTTTTCATTTTCTGGAAAGGACGTTTCATCGCTAATTTCATCGCTAACTATGATTCATTGCCAATTAATCTACTGTCTCGACAGTAACTATTTTTATTTCTCTTTCTCATTTTTCTTTCTCCATTTCTCTATCTTTATTTTTTTGTAAGAGCTAACAAGACGTTAGAGTCTCCATTAACAATTTTATTTCTAAATAAAACGATTTTTTGCTTAATTTTTTTAAACTATTTTCGATGAATTTCATTATTATTTATTTCTTCTATATTTTAACCTCATTTATTGTAAATTGTGCTCCTTCTTTAAATATTTCTTCTTCAAATTTTCTTTCAAATGAGGATGATTTACATTGGATTTTTCGACTTTTGCCTATTTTAGTTGGTTATGGCTTTCTAATATTTTTCTGTTTTTATTTAATTCGTTGGGTGGAGAAGAAATCTAAAGGTTTTTTTAATTAAAAAATTCTAAAAAAAAATTTTTTTAGACAACGATTCTTTTCTTCAACAAAATTTTTTTCTTCATTTTCTTCGTCTTTTTGCTATAGGCCAACCAGAATATAAACAATTACCACAACAAAATTTAAATAAAAACAAATCAATTCCTCCTTCTTTTTCGCTACGACGGAAAAGAAAATCTTTTTTTGAAGATGCAATTTATTTTTCAATATTTTTCATAGGAATTCAGGTTTTTCTTTGACATTTTTAGTTTTTAAAATTAATTTTTTGGGTTTAAAAATAACCTTGGGGGGGGGGGGGGGGGGGGGGTATGATGTTATAATACCAAAAGCTTGTAATACCAAAGCTTGTAATACCAATAGCTTGAAATACCAAACCCCCAAAAGATGTTGAAATACCAAACCGTGGAAAATAGCCTGTAATACCAAATAAATACCAAAACTATTATTATTCAATTTGTTACTAAAACTGTGGAATTTTTTGTTATTTATCTCCCGGCAGAATAACTTGTTGGTTTTAGCCTGTTGGCTTTTAGTCTTCGCTGGGAAAACTGTTCTTGTGACAAGCTGATTTTTGGAGTAAAAAATTCGAATATACAAATAATAGCTCATTTGAAAGGGCTCGGCGAGCTGAGTTGAATAACACCAAAATCAGCTCGATTAGATGATTATGAACAAAGTTATGACCAACGGAATCTTCGCTGGAAAAACTGTTTTTGTGCTGCTACGGAGGGTAGGCCGGGCATGGTCTTCGCTACACAATGGCCGTGCTTCGCTGCGGTCGTGCTCGCTTCGCTCGCGTGACCGTAGCGAAGCGGCGGCCGTCGTTCCGCTCGACATGCCCGGCTTCCTCCGCAGCGGCAAAAACTTTTTTCCGCGAAAACCTTATGTGAGAGGTTTCCACACTTTGTATTATGAAGGATTTTGGAGGAGGATTATATTATACACAAAGAGGAGTTTTATAAAATTTTTTCAACGGTTTGGTATTTCAACAGCTTTTGGGTATTTGGTATTACAAGCTTTTTTGGTCACTTTGGTATTTCAACATCTTTTGGGGGTTTGGTATTTCAAGCTTTTTTGGTCACTTTGGTATTTCAACAGCTTTTGGGGGTTTGGTATTACAAGCTTTTGGTATTATAAAACGTTCCGCCTTGGGGGATGGGCATTAAAAATATTACTTTTTTACCCCTCTATTATATAGCTTTTACTTTCGATTATAGTGTGAACCACTTGTGGTCAAGTTGGGAGTGTTCCTGGCTGCCACTTTTTGGGGTCGAGAGTTCGAATCCGTCTCTTGTATTTTTAGCGATTTTTTTCCTATAATCTGTTTTAATGTTACTTATCTTTCTAAAGTATTTTTGTTGGCAAAAAAAATTTTTATTAAATTTTAATTAAAAAAAATAAATTTAGTTTTCAGTTTTGTCTAGTCTGTATGGGCTTTTATCAAGAAAGAATAATTACACAACCTTACAAAATTCAAAATATGACAAAAAAAGAATTTTTTAAAGATGCTCAATTTTTAGTTTTTGCAAATAGATTGGTTAATTTTTATTAAAAAATATTTTGGAAAAATTAAAAAAATTTTTGAATGAAATTTGAAAGGAAAATAAAATTAAAAAATAATTATTTTAAAATGAGGTAAACAATTTTGATTTTTAAATAAAATTTTAAATAGTTTATTTTAAAGGTTGCTTTAGTTTTGGCTGGAATTTATATTTTGTTTCGGTGGAAAAGGTTAATTAAATTTTAAAAATATCTTTTAGAATTTTTTGCGGACAAAATTTGCGGACAGTTTTCTCACATTAAAAAATTTGCGGACACATTTTGCGGACATTTTTCTCACATTAAAAAATTTGCGGACACATTTTGCGGACATTTTTTTTTATCTTAATATGCTTGGAAAATGTTTTCTGCCCTTAAAAGTTTTTCTAGCTGATAAAATTTTCTTAATTTTCAGTTTACCAGTTCATGTCCCTCCTCTTTATCTTCATTCTTTCACTTCTTTTTCAAATGTGCTTTCTTCTTGGTGTCAATACGAGGCTCTTAAATATGTTAGCTTTCCAACACAGGTTTTTTAAAGTTAATTTTTGAGAAAAATCAATTAAAAATTTCTCAGACAGTCTGTAAAGCAAGTAAATTAGTTCCAACAATGATTATGGGAAGAATTGTCCGTAAACGTCAATATTCAATTAGAGAGTACATTTTGGCTTTTATTATTGTTTTTGGGGCTTCTATTTTCTTTTTATCTTCAACTAGGCAAATTAAGGTTTATTTTTGATTTTTGCGGATAATCCGCAAAATTTTCTCAAAAATTAAAAAAATATTTTTTAGAGAGAAAGTAACGACAAAAGGAGAGAAGAAACAAATTCAGCTGTTTCTGGATTTATATTAATGTGTGGATATTTATTACTTGATGCTTTTACTCCAAATTGGCAAAAAAGTAATGAAAAAATATTTTTTATTTTATAAAAATCAAGTTTTTTTTCCTATTAAATTTGCATCAAATTTAAAATGGGTCAAGACTCGTAATGGTCAGTAAAGCAGGAATACTGTCACTCTGACCCTTACGAGCCCTTCAGAAATACTGACCCTTATTAGCCCTTTGACCCTTACGAGCCCATGACCATTTTAAAATTACTCAAAGTTAGAAATATTTTTGGAATTATTCCTTTGTATCAAAGGTTTATCCAAAAGGGACAGAAGCAATTAACCTCTAGATACGACCTTCCGTTCAACTTATGTCAGAAAATTAAAAATTACTTTTTTTAAAGAATTATTTGAACAACCCCCACGTCTCCACACTAGTCAAATGATGTTTGCAGTTAATTTATTTTCTGTAATTTTGTGTTTAATTTCTCTATTACAACAAGGAACATTACTTACTTCAATTAATTTTATTTCTAAACATGAAAATATTTTTGTTGATTGTTTACTGCTTTCGTTGGGTTCTGCTTTTGGGCAGGTTTATTTTTTAATTAAAAAGCTGGGCAGGAATATGAAATTCTGTTTTAAAGACTCGGAATTTTTAAAAAATAATTTTAAGAGGCTTTCATCTCATAATTTAAAATAAAAGTTGAAAAAATGTTCGAAAAACAAAATACTCTCGAAAGGACTCGAACCTCTCAAGTAAAGGGCTTGGACAGACACCGATCCCGCTACACCACAAAGCTTGTACTACAAAATTTTTATTTTTAGGTTTTTATTTTAATGACTGTTAAGCGGTTTGGCCCTGTTGTTCTTTCGGTATTTATTTTCTCAACTATTTTTAATTTTTTCCCCTAAATTTTCCCAAAAATTTTCAGTTATTGATGACAATTCGTCAAATTCTATCAATTTTCTTTTCAACCTATAATTTCGGTCATTCAATTACTTTAATAGGATTTTTCGGGTTATTTACAGTTTTTGGTGCAATTATTGTTGATATTTATTCAAAATATAGAATTAATACAGGAAGAAGGCTTAGATAATTTATTTTTAATAATTTTACCTCCTAATATTTTTTAAAATTCCTATAATTATTTTTAATTTTGCTTTTTTTTCCCTTGAGAAAAGGTACGTTAGTTTTAATTTTGAAACAAACAATTTTTGTATTTACCCTCATGGTGGGGTTGTTGGTTTCGAACAGAAGAACCAAGGATTTTTTGGTTCCGAAGATTTTCACAGAACCTAACCCCATTTATTAGTGCAATTTTAAACAGCAATTAAATCTTTAATTTTTTTCTTAAAATTTTTTAAAGTTTTTGAGATTGACTTAAATATAGACAAATAAATCTTATAAAATGGAGACCTTTAATAAAATGACAATTGGGAATGTTTCAACTATTTTTGCTTTTATTCTCCACAGGTGACAAATATTTAAGAATACCATTTGGAGTATTTGAAGGAGAACTTTTTTCTTCTTTATTATGTTTTAAAAGTCTTTGACTACACTTAACACCTTTTGAACGAAGTTGACTGGATAATTTTGGGGAAGGACGACTAAAAAATAAATTAAAAAAATTTTTCTGAAAAAAACCGTCGCTTTTTTCCACTGCTCCCAGGCGTTCTCTGATTTTGGAAAGAGGCTGATAAATTCCTTGATTTTCCTGGAGTTCTGTGTTGATTTTCGTTACCTTCAATTCTTTAACAAAAAAATTTTATTAATTTTAAATTAAAAAATTCAACAAACCTAGATATTTTACTGGCAGGAGTAAATGTTGTATTCCCTTTCAAAACAAGCTTTTTTGGAGTTGTAAAGTTGAAAGACACTTGATTTTGAGAAAGAGAATTCTCTTTTTTAGAGAAATAAATAGCTGGTAAATCCTCCAAGAAAGATTTTTTGTCATCAAAAATAAAGTTGGGAGGTGTACTAAATTTAATTAAAAATTAATAGTCAAACTCAAACTTCAATTTAGATGGTCGTTCAATGGGTGGGTAGGGGTTGCTGTTTAACAATGGAACCTTCATAACTCTAATTCGAGTACTTCTTTCGGTACCGATCGATAAAGCATCATCGATTTACTGTAGAAAATTTTCGGTTTTTTAGGAATGTGAAACTAAAAAGTTACAGGGTATCAAAGTTACTCTAATTTAAAATAAACCTCAATATAAAATGATTCCTCATGGGGAAATCTTATAATGAAGTCCGACTACCATTAAACATCTTTAAAATAAAAACCTTCTTCCATCAAAATTTGTTAGCTTCAAAGAACACTTTATTTCATTTATTGTTTGATTGTCCAACATATTCTCATTTTGTATTGGCGGTAACAAAGTTGGGTAATCAAATTTGATTGGAATTCCAGTTTTACTAGAAGTCTAAAAATAAATTAAAAATAAAATTATAAAATCAACAAACCTCCTTTGAATATTCATTGTCCGTTCTTTCATTATTGGACCAAATCCGAATATAATCGCGACCAAGAGTAAGAAAGTATTTTCCGCTTTGACTCCATTGAACACATTCAAACTAAAATTTAAATCTATAAAATTTTTATAAAAAATAGAGAAAAAACCTCGAATTCATTTCCTTCCAATGCAAATTTTGGATTTGGAAGAAAACTTTTATTTGAACTTTTAAAAAGGTTTTGCCGGTAGTTACGACTTTCCTTAAAATATTATTTAAATTTAAAATGAAAAAGAAATATAAATAACCTGTAAATCCCAAACGTACGCTCTATTTCGAGATGAGCCACAAATTAAATGATCGGAAATGGAAGATGTGGCACATTGGACGTAGAATGAATCAATACCATGTCCATTTAAGGAGCGTACTTAAAATTTGAAAAATTATCTTTAAAAATTTTTTGAATGAGTTTTAATGAAATTTTAAAAGGTTTTGGATTGAAAATATGCGAAGAAAAATTTTAAACTGAATTTATAACGATCAGAGTCGAACCTAGGCAATTAAAAAAACAAGCAAGCTACTAAATCACTAGACCACAGAAGAACATTTTTATTAAAAAATTTATAAAACTAATCCAAGTTTTTTACTTTTCAAAAAAAACCTGGTAAATCACAGCTAGATACCGGCAAAAATTCATGTATTTTATCATCTGTACATGAAGCAAAGAATGAAGAATTAAAGCGATCCCAACACATTGACGCTATTCCCGGCTCTTTTCCTCCTTCTTCTTGTGGAACTTTGAGAGTTCTTAAAGCAGCACCAGTAATATAACGCAAATCCCAAATTCGAATCCCGCTAAATTTTTCTTAATTTAGTAAAAATTATTTTAAAAAACCTTGAAGCGGAGGAGGATGAAGAAATGACATAATTCTCTCCAAAATGCAATAAGCCTTGAAAAATAAAATATTAAAAATAAATTCGTTAATACCAGTAATAGAAGCAACAGTTTTCGAACGTTTACAAGAAGAAGGAGAAACAACTAAAAATTTTTTTATCAAAATTAGTCAAGCTATGAACAAACAGGCATGGTAATACTTTGGAAGTTGTCCCCCTTACAATTTTTCCCTTCCTAGAATATTTCTCTGATCATTTTTACAAATTCCTTCAGTCTTTCCCTTTATCCTAACATAAGGCAATTATCAGATGACTGTCAAAAGTTTGTACAAAAAGTTTTATAAAGACGTAACCAAGTATTACCTTTTTATTACCAAAAAACGGAGAAATAGGAAAGAAAAAAGGATAGCTCTTCAAAGTATTACCACCAGCCCTTCTAAAAAAGCTAGAAAAAAAACCTCCAGGAGATTCATGCGCAAATGCAAAAGTTCTTGATGGAGCTAAAGCTCCCCATTCGGAGCCATCAATTGTTATTTGCTCATAAGGAGGGGAGCGCAAATCCCATCCAAGGATTGAACCATCACGAGAGCCAGAAACTAATAAATCTTTAAAAGAAATTTAAGAAAAAACCCTAAGAAAAATACTTGGATTTCCAGGACAAACACTGGCACATCTAACAGAACATGAATGCCCAACAAGACAAGAAATTGGCTTTCCATTTGTAATATCAATTAAATGAATGTGTGATTTGCCTGATAAAGCAATTAACCATTCTGGAATTTCAGGTAAAAAGCAAAAATCCAAAATGACGCTATGAATACGACTACCTTAAATATATATATTTAGTAAGAGAGAGGTAAAAATTTAGACAGGGCATCCTGCGATCTCCTGGCCAGGCGCAGGTAATTCTACCTAGAGACCGGCAAAATCGAACTTCCGGGATCCCGAGTAGGAAAATCCTGTCCAGCGCCGGTCTCTAGTTCTACCTATGATAGCTATTGGGGCGCCGGTTTCACCTTCTTTTAATAAAACTCCCGCCTAGTAAGCGTTTTAAATGTTGGAAAGATAAATCTCCCTTGTCCCATACAATTAAAAAAATTAAAAACCTCTTCTAATAAATTTATATTTATCTAAATCTTCTTTTGCGTCGAATAAAGCAATAGATCCCATTTCATTTCCCAAAACAAAAATGTGTTCCTGTTGAGAATGTGGTGAAAATCTTGCTGATACCCATTCAAACTAAAATTTTAAAAATAAAAATTAAAAAGAAAATTAAAAAGTTACGTCGTTTGCATGGGGAACTGAACAAAAAGATTGAATAAATTCGTCTGGGCATTTGTTGTAAATATATTTGTTGCTTGAATAATTTGAATAAAGTTGATCATACATTCTCTCCAAAATTTACATTAGTTAAGTAAAAATAAAGAAAAACATTCGAAAAAAAGAGATCAATAAGTGATTTTTATTAGAAAATTTATTCTACGCTATTTTTGGCACTTAATTTTGTTTTTGGCGAAATGTTTAATTTAAAGCTCAAAAAGTAGTATAAAAGGGCAATATTGAATGTTGTCTTTATTCTTCTAAGTTTTTCTATATTTTATCGAGTTTTTATTTTTTTCTGTTGGTTCGTGACGTTAGTTGGTCTTTCTTGTTCTTTTGTCTTTCATATGTACTTTTAAAAGTTTAATATTTTGAGCGTCATTTGTGCTCTTCATTTCTTTCATATTTTTAAGACTAGGTGAGTGCATAAACAATTTGATATGTGTTAGTGTATTCACTTTTACTTGAGTATAAATTCTTCATATTTTTTCTCCCATCATTCTTTAAATCCTCTTAGTTTTAAATAAAAACTTGTTAAATTTTCAGACAATTAAAACGTTTATTTTCTATTATCAAAACAATTATGGCTGTTCCTCCCGATGTTATCGAGAAGATCGAGGCTGGGTACAAAAAGTTGCAGGTACAGAAAGTTACAAGCATTTTGAACTGTTTTTTCAACTTTTAGGAGGCGCCGGAGTGCAAGTCTCTTCTCAAGAAGTACTTCACTAAGGAAGTTATGGACCAGTGTAAAGGGCTCAAAACTAAGCTTGGTGCGAACTTGCTTGATGTGATCCAGTCTGGAGTTGCGAATCTTGATAGCGGTGTTGGTGTTTATGCGCCTGATGCTGAGTCTTACACTCTCTTCAAACCGCTTTTTGACCCGATTATTCAGGTTGTTTTGGGATGTTTTAGTTATTTGACGTCGTTTTTTCAGGACTACCACAATGGATTTGGACCTGACCAGAAGCAGCCGCAAACTGACTTGGGTGAAGGAAAGACTCAGCTTTTGCCTGATCTGGATCCTGAGGGTAAATTCATCAACTCGACTCGTGTTCGATGTGGGCGTTCTCTTCAGGTTGCTTTGTCGCTAAAACTTGTTTATTTTTCTTTTCCAGGGATATCCGTTCAATCCGTGCTTGACTAAAGAGAATTATACGGAAATGCAGGACAAAGTTAAGGGTGTCTTTGAGCAGCTTAAGTCTGGTAGGTTTTTTATTCCTTCGAATCTACATTTTTAATATTCAGATGCTGAGCTCGGTGGCACCTATTATCCTTTGGAGGGAATGACCAAGGAGGTTCAAACTCAATTGATCAAGGATCACTTCCTCTTCAAAGAAGGAGACCGCTTTTTGCAGGCTGCGAATGCTTGTCGTTATTGGCCAACCGGACGTGGTATCTACCATAACGACAAGAAGGTTAACCTTTAGAAAAACGTTTTCTTATTAAACGATTTTTTCCAGACTTTCCTTGTTTGGGTCAATGAGGAGGATCATCTTCGCATCATTTCTATGCAAAATGGAGGCAATGTTGGCCAAGTTCTTGAGCGTTTGATCAAAGGAGTTAAGGCAATTGAGACTAAGGTCCCGTTCTCTCGCGATGATCGTCTTGGCTGGCTTACTTTTTGCCCTTCGAACTTGGTTTGTTTTGAACATATTGTGTCATTTTTAACGGTTTTTCTCTTTAAGGGAACGACCGTTCGTGCATCTGTTCATATCAGATTGCCAAAGATTAGTGCCAAACCGGAATTCAAGAAGTGAGTTTTATTCCAAATGAGAGCTCTCAATCAAAAATATTTTTAAGGATCTGTGATGAGATGAAGTTGCAAATTCGTGGGATTCATGGTGAGCACTCGGATTCTGAAGGCGGCGTCTACGACATTTCTAACAAGGCTCGCCTTGGGCTTACCGAGTTTGAAGGTGGGAAAGTTACTGGAAAAGATTTTTGTATAATTTTCATTTTCAGCTGTCAAGCAGATGTACGACGGTGTGAAGAAGTTGATTGAGCTTGAGAAGGCTGCCTAGATGATGGGAAATAATGTGCTGCTATAGGAGTATAATTAATTATAGGTGATAAAATAAGTACTTAAAATTATAGTAAAAAAGATACTCTTGAATATAAAATGTTAAAATTTTTTCGTGCATATTATTTGTCTTTTTTGTCGATATTTGCGAATAAATTGCATAATTAAATTGTCTTTCTTTGCTTATAAGTTTTTTAAGCTTAAAATGTTTTATGAGGTAACTATCGTTTGTGTAGAAGAGTGTTTCATCCAAATAAAGAGATTGGTCTCTCAAGGTTTGTTGATTTTTTGACGACTAGCTTTCTGACTTGTAGAAAGTATATTGTTTGGCAAAGCAAATAGAAATGTGTGCCAGATTTCGATTTTGTAAGTTTTTACCAAATCGACCCCCTGCAGTTTTAAAAATTAAATTGCCTGAAAATGTCCAATCCCAAAATGTCCAATGATATAGAAACCAGAGAAGCTCGGTTACAGGGAATCGTCTGCCTTATAATGTGCTTCAAGAGCCCTTTCCTGCTTGGATTAAAGTGAGCTGTTGGCTTATAAAGAACAAAGCAGATAGAAATTGGGTGTTATTAATTTTTAATGAGAGTAAATGAGCAGCTTTAACTTTTTTAATGGCAACCTTTTTTAAACAATTATATCAAAAGTCATTATTGAGTTGAATTTAATTAGCCTTTAATTAATTAATATTTTTTAATTTTTTAGATATTGCTTGCTTTTAATATTTCATGAGTGCTTCTTCCTCCTCTAATTGTGACAACATCGAAAATAAAACTGTTAAAACAAAATTAAATGAAAATGGAGAAGAAAAAGAAAAGGAAGAAGAAGATTCAATTCCCGGACCAAAACCTCCAAAAGCGCCCAAAAAAGAATATATCGAAATTCTATTAAATCCTCCCGAAGAAAGAATAAAAAAGAAGAATAAAAATATTTGTGAACGTATTCTTTCAAGACTTAAAAATCGAGAAGTTTTTGGCAATTCTCTTTCTTTGCCCAACATTTTTGAATTAAATAAAAGAAATTCTTCTGTTCATCAAAGAGATTTAAAAGCACATACAGGCTGTGTTAATGCTGTGGATTTTTCGCCAAATGAAGAATGGATTGTTAGTGGTTAGTTTATTTTTAGTTTTTTGGAGGGGTTTTTCTTTGATTATTTTGGGAGAGTACGTCAGAGTAGTTTTGCCCTCACCCAATTTTAACAGACGATCAGGTTTTTTCGTCTTTACTCGTGCTCAGACTAGGGATCGTGATACTTGGGGGAGGATCCTAATACTTACGCGATAGACTCGTTTTAAACCGAGTCAGGGGTTTTGCCAATTAATCGGTACTTGGTCGGGTTTTCCCCAATTTCTCGGTACTCGACGTACTCTAATTTTAAGTTCTCCGACGGAACTCTTTTTCTTTCTATCCTCACCACTTCCCTCAATTTAAAATTTTATTTTTAACAAGGATTTCATTTTTGATTAAGAAATGAAAGTTAACTCTGAAACACGTTTTGTAATATTTTATAGAGTTGAAAAATTAAGTCCGTGATCCATTAACGGATTTATAGAAATCCCGCGGACTCCGGGGGATTTCTCTTTTCGGACTCCGGGAATAAATACTGTTAAAGACTCCGGAATCCCGCAGACTCCGGAATCCCAAATATTCTAATCCCATTTGTCTCCTTAAACTCGAGATGCGCCAGTATCCATAAAAATATCGATAGGATCCCGTCTCAAATTATTATAAATTAATATTTCATATATGTTTTATAATCCTAAATTTAAAATTTAAATTTCCTAGGAGGTGATGATTTAAAAGTCCGCCTATGGAAAACAGTTGATTGCTGCACTTCTGAAACTCCTTCATTAACAAGCGTTACAATGAAATCAGTTCATCAATCAAATATTTTTGCTCTTCGATTTTCTCACAAAACTGAAAGAGTTTATTCTGCTGGGAATGACCATCGACTTTTGGTACATGATATGAGGTTATTTTTTGAAGGAATTTTTTAATTGAAGAGAATTTTTAAAGGACTCTTGGACGTCTTTGTACTTATCGGGCAGCTTCTTCTATTTATCATATTTCCACTCATGTAATTTGTTTTTTTAATAATTTTGGGATTTTGAAGGGTTTTGTTTGGGGTTTTCTTTAAGTTTAATTTATTTTTATGGATTAAAAAACCGCTGGCAGATACAGGCAAACCTCTCTGTTGTATACACTCACTATTAGATTCCCTCCAATTTAAGATACATTTTTAAAAAATTAGGTTGGTCACTTGGGTAGGAAAATTTCCTGACATAAGCAATGCTAGTATACTTCTCGTTATAAGATATAATTTCTTATGCCCTAACAAAGGAGAGTGCCTGGGGTGTCCACGGGACTTCGGAATTAATGATCTACTTGTCTACCAAATTTCACCCCGAAGTCCCGCGGACACCCCAGGCATTCTCCTTTTGTAAGGGGGTATTCTATAAGGAGATTAGACTTTCTTTTTGATTATTAAACTTCAAAAAAATTTTTTTTTAATTTTCAGCCAGTTGATGACAACATGATTGCGGCCTCCTCAGATGATCGAAACGTTTATTTGTTTGATTTGCGAGGTGGAGAAGGTGATGGAATGTGTACAAAATTAAAACAAGAGGGACGTGCTTATTCTGTTTGTTGGAATCCTTTAAATCATAATATTGTAGCTGTTTGTAATGAAAAGACCGGATTGGTTATTTATGACTTGAGGATGGGAATAAAGTAAAGGAATAATTTTTTAAGGGGAATTTATTTCATAGAGTGTCTAATTAAAAAAATAATTTTATAAGGCTGGTCAGGTTTGAGGGGTTTTGCGAGCATATTGTTGAAATTTATTTTTTGTTAGTCTCAAAAAGTTATAAATTTAAAGTTTTCTAAAAAATTCTGGGATTGGACTCCTGATTTTACTTGTTTCTGCGAACTGAATCCAAGATCTGAAATTCGTATATTCTCTATAGGGTTACTAAAATGGTATGCTCGGCCCTAAAGGTCGCATATTTTGTCCGAAACCCATACATTCTCATTTCATATGAAAATTGCCTTGAACGCCAGCCTTTCCTCCCCTTAATTCTATAGAAATCTTGAAATTTGGTTGGCAAGGAATTTCATGCCTTATTATCCAAAAACCAGATTAATTTTTAAAAGAATTGTTTCTTCTATTCTTTTTTGTTTATACCATTTTATAAATTTATTTTAATTTTTATTAAAATATCCTTTTTTCAGTAATTACGTTGAAGCTGGAAAAATTACTCGTCGTGCAATTTGTTCAGATTGGTCACCAAATGGTGAAGCACTTTTTTGTGTTATGAGCCGTTCAAATCCTGTAGTTTTTAATGTTTGTTTAAAATTTAAAAATTTTTAAATTTTATTTTAATTTTTTAAAGTTGTCTACCTCAGAATATGTTCATTTACGTGATCCAAATTATTCAAATTTTTGTACAATTAAATCTTGCACTTTTGCTGGTCATAATTTTATGTGTACGGGCAGTGATGATTGGAATATTTATGTTTGGGAAATGCCGACAGATTGGAGCGGTTTTTTCTTTTGAAAAAATTTTTTGAAAAAAAATTTATTTTTTTTCAAAAATTTTTTTTTGAAAAAATTAAAAAAATTTTTTTATTGAAAAAAAATGTTTTTTCTAGACAAAAATGACGAAAATGAAAATACAAGTAACGCCTTCACTGTCCTACGCGGGCATCGCTCAATAGTCAATCATGTTAAATATGGCTCAAAAAGTGGATTAATGTTGTCTTGTGGAGTTGAAAAAATTGTTAAAGTAAATAAAAAAAAATTTTTTTTTTGAAATTTTCTTTTTCAGTGTTGGAGTCCTTTGCCATTATTTAGTTCCTATAGCAATCCAAAACTGAGAACAAAACTTTCAAATGCACGTCTTTTTCCGTATGTGGATATGGGTGATCCACATGGGGATTCTGGTTAGATTTTTGAAATTTTTCAAGAAAAAAGTTTTTCAGAAAATTTTTAAAAATTTTCTAAAGATTTTTTTTATTAATTCAAAAAATTTTTATTAATTTTTTTAAAAAATTTTTTTAGATATTGAAGAAGATTTGAGCACCTTACATCGTTTTGATTATTACTATGAGGTTATTTTTTTGCGTTTTTTTAAAATTAATCTAAAAAATTTTAAAAAGATCCAGTCTTTACGAATGCGTCAGTCAAATGGAATTGTGGAGGATTCCGATTCGGATTCTGATATGGATTCAAATTATTCTTCTGGCTTTCTTTTGTATCAGGTCTTGATTTAATTTAATAAATTTGGTCGCGTCATAAAAATATTTTTTAGCTCTAATTGAGGTTATATTTTACTTAAATGGAATTTGTAAAGAGAAAAGGTTAGTATTTGAAATTCTTTTTTCCCTAAACATTCAAATTTTTATGACGCAACCTTGGCAATCTTTTATTACTTTTTATTGGGTAATATTGTAGTTGTGTATCCTCTCATATTAATTTTAAGTATGGTTGTTAGCGACCGATTAATTTTAACCTGTGGTGGCTCAAACAGAAAATTTTAAGGTAACCGCCACAGGCGAAGATTAATCGGTCGCCAACAACTCTAGTTGTATATATTTTTAAGCCAAATTAGCAAGCATTCTTATGTTAGCATGTATCATAAGAATTTAAAAATTAAGAAAAAGAATGGGAGGATTAAGGTTGGCGGTTCCGGTTCCGGATAACCGAAAATTTTTTAGGAATCGCCAACCTTAGGGAGGATACACAAACTATAATTTTATTATCAATAAATTTTTAAAAATATTTTTTTAAGTTTCAGAATAATGCAAACAATGGAAGCAATAATGGAGATGACCAGGAATCCTATTTTAGTGGTATAAGTGCCGGTGGGGATGTTGAAGATTCATCAACATCAGAAAATGCTTCAATTTCTAGTCAACCCCTCGGTCATTCTGTTGGGGGAGGGGGAGGCCATAATAATTTTGATGATGCTTTTTAAAAAGATGTGAACCAAAAAAAGTATATATTTTTTAAAAATTTTTTTGACAAAATAATTTTTACACTTCTAATATTTGTGTGTATTTTATAGAAAATTTTATAATTGAAAATTTTTTTTTAATTTTTAAAAGACTTGAATTTTGTCTTTAAATATTTTTTAAAATTATTTTTTAATTATTTTTTCTAAATTATTTTTCATTTCCTCTCGGAATTGTTCACCGAAGCTGAGGCAAAGCAAGTAAAATCTAAAATTAATTTCCAACCCCACTACATTTTCTCCTCTGGAGGCATGTGTTGTCGACTTACTTTAGACTTTAGTAAATTAGGGATGGGCCGGGGTTTTTTTCGACTTGAAAGCCAATTTGACACTTTTTTCTTACAAGGAAACGTCCAGAACTGTATGTTTCCTTACTCGGAGAAAATTTCTCTTTAATATTAAAATGAAGGAGACTCTCCAAAATACTGAAACTTTTATCAGCTATAACTTTTCAATTTGGGGGTCAGAGGGAAAAAAGCCAGAAATGGCCCATAGGTTTTCGACCCTGCTCTACACGATGGTGCAAAAAATTTTTCGAAATTTTTAAATACAGTTCGGGATGTTCTCTTGTTAACTCAACAACATCCCCAAATACTTCTACTTAAATTAATTGAAAAATTCTCTTTCGGTTAATTGTCCATTCGGTGAATTTTTCTTTTATTTTTTTAAATTTTTTAAAATAATTTTAAAGATTTTTTTTGTTTTTAGCCTTTAAATATTTATTAGTTAACAAAAATTTTTTCCGTTTTTGTCACTTCACGCATTTTCACTTTTGCAACGACTTTAATTAAAACCTCATCAATCAAATAAATAAAATTATTTTCTACTTAAACAACAACAAGACAATAATATTCTCTTCTAAACGCAGTTTATATAAGGTTTTTATTTTTTTTTAATTTTATTAAAAAAAGGAAAGATTGAATGTTTTTAAATTTTAGAAAATTGAAGTCGGTTTCATTTTAAATTTTAAAATTGTCTAGAAAATTCAATTTTTAACGGTCGCTTTGCGACTTGCGACAGAAAATGTAGAAAAACCGCACGCTACCTTTAACTTTTTTTTTTCTCTATACGCGCAATTTTTATATAACTAGGCTTTGGCTATTTTTTTTTTAAATTCTTTCGTAAAATTTTTGGTTATTGGATAGAAATTAATTCCCAAACGAGAGTTGCGGTTTCACTACTCAGAGGTGTCGGAATCGGAACTGGCTCATAAGTTGGAAGTCGGAAATCAAGATTTTTTTTCGGAAATCAGAATTCCGAACCACCTCCGTCCTCCACATACCAAAAAAATCAATTAAATATTAATTAAATATTTTTTTTTATTTTTTTTTTTGATAAAAACATTCAATTTTTTATTTTCCATCGAAAGATCATCTACCTCTTTTGTAAAAATAAAAATAAATAAATGGGCTGAGTATACGTCCTTTTAGTAGAAACTGGGAGAGAAAAAAGACTGATTAGAAAAGAAAAAGTAAAAAAAAGTAAAAAGAGATAAAAATTCTGTTGCATTGAAAAATATTTTTATTTATTTTTGTTTACCTAAAAAATAATTTTTTTTTAAATTAATTTTTATTCAAAAATCTAAAAAAATTATTTTCAAATTAAATTTTTGAAATATTTACAAAAATTTTTTTTTATTTTTCCCTTTTTGGGTTATCGCTTAATGATAGGATTAAATAAATATTCCGCGCTGTTATAGAAAAGATAATGGAAAAAGAGGAGAAAAATGCCTCGCGACTTTTTTAAATTTTTTTGTCGCAGGACGCAAAGGGACTAAAGGACTTATGTAATCACACCATTAGGTAACTTCCCCTTAACTAACCAAATTTTATATAAACATTGTCTAAACTATATGTATTATCCAGTTTCGGGATTATTTTATTGTAATAGATCTAGGTGTACTAACTTTAAAAATTTAAACAAAATTCTACAAAAAATTTTCAAAAAAAAAATTTAAAATTTAAAAAAAATTTTTTTTCAGCATTTCTAAAATAATAAAATGACAATTCTTCATATTCGACCAAAACGTGCTCGTATCCAAACCTTTTATCGTTGTGTTAAAAACATTGTTCGATATGATTCCACTTCTACAGACCAAAGGGAATTTAAAAAGGTTTTTTGCTGAAGATTTTTTTAAAATATTTTTTTTTTAATTTTCAAGGTCATGGTTGCAAATCGAGGGGAAATTGGTAATTAAATTTTTAAATTTTTTTAAAATTTCTATGCCCTGGGAAAGGCTGGGATTTTAATTTGGTATATGTCTAGTTGTTATTTTTAGATACCATTCTTCTCTTTTTTTGATTCCGAACCATAAGAAAAACCAGAATATGAAGAGAATACAAATAATCTAGATAATTTTTTTAGCCCGGACGGATACTCGCTCACTAGTGATCGAGCTGTACCTGGACCAAGGCTTGGGTTTTTCCTGTACCCAGAGTCCAGGCCCAGGCATTTTTTGATCTTCCTGGGTTTTTCCTGGACTTTCCAGGATCCGGCCCAAGTCAATAAATCAAACTCCAGAGTCCAGGCTTTTCAAAAATCTCTATTTCTATCGCTCCCTTTTTTAGAGTGATTTTAAACGTGTGACGGGACTATTCCCTTCGATTCAACAATTACTACAAGCTAGACCTATCTCTTAGATTTATCATTTCCTTTCGCTTATTCCCTGGATTTGTAAAAAGTTAAATTATTCTTTCGGGAAAAGTTAAATTATTCTCGGAAAAGTTAAATTACGGGAAAAGTTAAATTATTCTTTCCTTATCTCTCAATTACTTTCCTCAATTCTTCTTCAATTTCTGTCGTTCAATTCCTCAATTCCTTCCCTTACAAAAAATTCTTCTCTTTAATTTCTAAAAAATTTTCTCATTTTATAGCAACGCGAGTATTTCGAGCATTAACAGAAATGAACAAAACTTCTGTTGCTATTTATTCAGAACAAGATAAACATTCAATTCATGTTTATAAAGCTGATGAAGCTTATTTAATTGGAAAAGGTTTTTTAAAGGAATTTTTTGAAAATTTCTTTTAAAGGTTTACCCCCTGTTGCTGCTTATTTAAATATTGACCAAATCGTTGATGTTGCTCTACGTAACCAAGTTGATGCTATTCATCCAGGCTATGGGTATTTTTTTATTTTTTTGTGAAAATTTTTTTTGGAATTCTTAGGGTTACGCCCTTTTCCTTTTTTCGCCTTGCCTTTTTTTAAATATTCGCAAAAATTTTACCCAATTTTATGTGTTTAAGCCGGCTAAGTTTCCAGCCGGCTAAGTTTAGCCTTTTTTTTAAGCCGGCTAAGTTTAGCCAGTGTTTATAAATTTCAGATTTGCTTGTACTCGACTTCGTACCACCCCATTTTTTGACCTCGTACTCGTATTTCATACCTAACAAATAAGTTCGAGTTCGAATTTTGGTACGAGCTTATAAACACTACTCCCAGCCTAACAAATAAAACAATTTTGGTAGGATTGTTAACAACCCTTCATTCCGAAAAGTTCCTATGATCAAGTTCCATCCAATCTTTTGATATTTTTTGGGGTGGTTTGGTGTCGTTTTATTCACGACTTTCTTTTTTATTGAGAACCGATACCTGTAGAACGGGAAAGTTAAAGAAGGTCAAGTTTGGGAAATAAGGGATAAAATTTGACTGTGGTTAATCTTAAGATTTTTTCTATTTAAAAAGTTTTTTTTTAATTTTATTTTTCTAGTTTTCTTTCTGAACGTGCAGATTTTGCCCAAGCGTGTCAAGAACGCGGAATTGTTTTTATTGGACCTGCCCCTTCTGTTATGAGGCGAATGGGAGACAAAGTATTTTTTCTTTTTTTAATTCAAAAATTTTTTCCCTTTTTGAGGTTGCTGCCCGTCAAGCAGCTATAGAGGCGGGAGTTCAAGTTGTCCCAGGAACTAATCATCCAGTAACTAGTGCTGATGAAGTAATGGATTTTGTTAAACAATATGGGACTCCGATAATAGTTAAAGCTGCTTATGGAGGTGGTGGTAGAGGGATGAGGAAAGTGGAAAGGGAAGATGATGTAAGTTAAGAAGTTTTTAAATTTGTGGAGATTTTTCATTAAATTACAAAATTAACTAAATTATTAAAATACACGCTGAAAAAAAGTATCTTATTAAAGAGATTTGCCTAGACATCTCCCCCACTCACTAGTCATCCAAAAAAAAAATTTTGTAACAGTTGATTGACTTTTGGGGTAGCATATGTATCAACCGGGACAAAAGTCGAAACTTTGAAGCCCTATAACTTTCCGATTTGGGGGTAAGGCCAAAAGGCTGGCAATGGGAACTCGACCCTGCTGATGACAGTTTGATATGGTTCCTTGTGAGAGGTATTTAATTTTAGGTATATCTTATGGTGAGGTCCGATTATCAGAAAAAATTAAAAAAAAATTTCTTTAATATTTTTAACAATAATTTATTTTATCTTTTTTAGGTAGAAAATGCTTTTAACAGAGCATTTTCTGAAGCTCAAGCAGCTTTTGGTGATGGTTCTTTGTTTGTTGAAAGGTTTAAATTTTTTTTTTTTTGAATTTTAAAAAAAATTTTTTAAAGATTTGTTGAAAGGCCAAGACACATTGAAGTTCAAATTATGGGTTGGCTATTTTCTAAAAATTTTTTTAAAATTTATTTTTAGGCGATCATTACGGAAATTTAATTCATTTATACGAAAGAGATTGGTTAGAAAAATTTTTTTTGTAAATTTCTCATTTTTTTATTTTCCCAGTTCTGTTCAACGTCGACATCAAAAAGTTGTAGAGCTTGCTCCAGCTCCAATTTTAGACCCTATTATAAGACAGAAAATGTTGGATGATGCAATAAAGTTGACAAAGCATGTTGGGTATCAAAATGTTGGTAGGTTTTTTTGAAAAATTTTTTTCGGAAATTTCCCCAACTTTTCTAGGCACAGTCGAATTTTTATTGGATAGAGCCGGGAATCATTATTTTATGGAGGTTAA